CTGACTTGTATTGCTAACACAGCACAACACTATTTCATATGTGTTAGTTCAATTGTCCTTACGCGCTACCAGTCGACATGCATGAAGTGTGCAGGGCTTAGATAACACTGGATTCCAATGGAAATTCCTTTTCTTATTATGACTTAAACTTCTCCGCATTATTTTGTTTATAATCTACAGTAGCCTAGTGAATACAGAAGCGTTAGTACTACAGGTCGGGCGCGGGTTGTTAATCTTTTGTTAAATGAATTGAATTCTTAAGCCGAAAGATGAAATATTCTTCGGCAAACACGTTCATACGTATCTTTTTCTGTTTAAAACGGATTCTAAACAAAAAGGAATGGCCTTTAATTAAACTAACATTTTTGCTTTCTTTCTAAAAAAATTCGTCTCAGTGGGTACTTTTAATTTAGGCGTCCTAACTGTTAGTTCAAACCTTTGAGCGAGTTTTCTTGTGACCTGCGCTGCAGATCTGAGTTTAGTTACTGAAAGGTCACGCGGTACTTAATTTGCTTTCAAGACTATAAAATGTAAACCAGACTTACATGGTGTATATAACTTCATATTCAGGTTAAGCTAGGTTTAGTTTACTTTACTTCGATACCTAAGAACTAGATTGCACAAGTAAGCTTGAAACGTGATGATTCAAGAACTATGATTTCTGAAAAGGATAGATGGACTGAGTCAGTTAAAGATTCCCGTTATTCAACCATTTTTTGTCTATCCTGAGAGTTAATTCATGTGATCATTGGTTCGATTCCACAGAAATATTTATAGGTTGCAAATAAATACAGAAAAAGAAAGTGCTTTTTTCGAAGAAAATTTAAGGTTAAATTACAATGAGCCACTAAATAGAAGACTGACAATTAGGGTAGATATAATGGTTTCATTGTTTTGTGTGGGTCGATTCTTTCTAGTCATAACCACTTCAAAAACTAAGCACCCAAACTAATCGTCGCGGAATTTCTAAATCAGAAACACTTAACATACAAGCTGAGTCCATACATGCACCTTTTAATAATTGCATTACTAAATAATTCACGCTACAATTAGTTTAAGGTGATGTTACACGGTCTCTGATGGGCTCGATACACTCGCTCTACGAGCTGGATATTACAATTACATCAGCCAAGCAGAATGCGGGATTTCGAAAGTATTACGTATGCTTTAGTAGAATTTCACTAATTTTTGAAAGTAGTTGCACGAATCTAAATCGACTACTTAAACCTGAATAATTTATCCTTTTGAATACAAAAACAACTTGGGATGAATACGTGGCGTCTCTATTTAGCTCACTGTGCTTGTGACCCATTGAAAATCAGTTGTAGCATGAGATATTTGTGAGATTAAGATTAGCGTTGTTTTACTATGAAAGAAAGATTAGCCGACCATCTATATATTTAACACGTGGGTGAGATAAGTATATCAAATATATTGAAGGTAATGGCAAACGCGTGAGTTTACTTGGCTATACTGAAAAATTGTTTCCACGGTGTCAGCTCTAGCTTTGCATAAAGAAGATCGCTATATTTGTATTATAAATTTGATTAAATTTAGAGCAATGTTGCAATCTAAGGTTACCTTTTGTGCTTATTAAAATGATACCTATTCCGGAAGTTAAAAAGAGAATAAAAGATAAATAGAACCGGAAAATCTTCGCTTACATGCATGATCATTTTTGGTTTTAGTTACAACTTGACCGAGGATATACTTGTCAATCAGTAGAACATTCAGGAGCACTCCTTATATTTCGCTTTCGCTCTTGAAATTTTTTGCTGATGAAAGCGCAAAATCTCCTAGATATAAAGTCGACAAATTCGAAAATTGTTAGAATACTCATGCCGAGAAAAAGACCAAAGTTACCACCCAAAGTCGCTGAAAGTAAAAAAAAAATAAAAATTAGTTAATTTTTTTTATAACAATTATCTACTAAATATCATGCCATTTCTCGTTTTTTTTTTTCTGACTGTTAAATTTTGGCTACGTGACCAACCATACGTACGTCTGCATCGCCGATGTGATATAATACTGCCGATAAAGATTGCAAATCTAATTTGTCATTCGTTTCAGTGAAACCTGGCTGATTGCATTGTTTATAATGTTCTATCAGAAGCATGCTTCTGCTTCTATCAGTTATAGCATCTTTTTTTTTCAGGTGGGTGTCATGCTCTAACTCAACTTCCAGCAAAGAATACGTATATACGTAATTTTTGCTTCTTATTAATATTTTTGTCCATGACGTTATACCATCTCACTCACCTACTAAAGACCAGTCTGTAAACTGTGGAGTCTGTGTTATCTCATCATAGTCCATATCTTGGAAAAAGATATCGAGAGAAACGATGTTGTCACTACATGGAAAAAAACAACATGCATACAGCAGGTCAATCAGCTTAAATTTGATGTACCAATCAATCACATGTCAGTCTGACATGTCTACAAGCGTTGTATTGCGCTTATTGGTTAAAGCTCTTTTTAATTGTGGTTGTGTCAATAGGCTATTTGCGTCCCTTGTCTGAACTTTGGTTCGAGTTTCAATGCTCCGTTAGTCCAGGGAAATACGCTGTAGTTATTGCTGATATGCAAGACCCTGCAACACGCATGCTAAATGTTCCTGGGGAGCAGTTTAATCCAAAAGGAAATACTTCGATTTTCATTGTTCAAGACCAAAACGCGTAAAGGGAAGTCTCTTAGGAAGCAAAAACTCCGCGCAAACACTTACATGGAATAAAAAACGATTTAGTCCCGAAATTAAAGCCTGTTCGCAAACACTTTATGCACTAGAAGAGGCTCGTAGAAAACTTACTCAATGTACAGCTTCTTTTCAAAGTATGACATGTTGAGAAAATTTTCGAAGGCTGGAAGGTTGTTGGTGCCGTTTAATGCTGCATTCAGTTTGTTGATGAAAACATTTCTCTGCAGACCGGCATAGGATAAAGATATTTCATACTCCGTGTGGTTGCATGGCGCCGGGCAGCTTTCTTCACACCTTTCTTTTTCCTCAGAGGTTCCAAATGACTCTATCAAATTAAAACCCAAAACAAAACACAGCTTAAAATGAATTCTTTTCCTTAAGGCTTATTGAACAATTAGCAGCTTTGCTGTTCTCCTTTTACTGATTGCCAGTTAAGGCCATGTCTCAAATTGGTAGGTACAATCAAGGCCGTTTTTTGGATTTAATTAACTTTGTATAGACTAAATTAATGTTAATGACGTTATGAATAAGGATTTTAAAGACCCCACATTGACCTTTATGATTGACAATGCATTGTCCAGGGGCACCCAACGAGAATATAGTTCAAAACCACTTAACATAGCATTGTTAAACTTATTTTAGTATTTAAACAGTAGATATAGGCATATTTCTATCCCCTAAAAATTTTTCATCTGTTCGGATTTCCTAGCTGAAAGTCTAGTGATCCGAAAATTATAGGGATCAAAACTTACCTTTTCGAAAATTTCAGCCAGAAAAAAGGCTCCCGAAAATTCTAGGTGACGTTTTAACGGTAAAAATCCGTTAAAAATTAGCAATTATAGTAGTTTTTAGATGTTCGAAAATCTTAGGAGAGGCAGGCAAGCAAGAAATTTTACAACAAATGTTCCGAAAATTCTAGATGTCAAATCGTCTTCCGAACAGATATTTTCCGAAAATCATCGGGTGTCGTTGGGTGCCCCTGATTGTCCCTTTAAAACCCTCCTATCAGCCTTTCTTCGACCATACATCGACCTCACGTCAGCCCCATATAAAGGGTTATTGATTAGTTAGTATACCGACTTAATGATTTATGTGCCGTTTGGAGGCGAGTGGAGTGATTGCTTTTACTATTCAGTAACTAACAAACACTTACCGTATGCTGGAAACACACAAAGCACAGTGTCATTTGGAGCGCAAAGTGGAAAGGTTGGATCTAAAGAGGAAGTAACTTCATTGTCAGCGGCTGGTTTTTAATTTTGGATCTATTTGCAAGGCATTGCTATCATAACGATCACTATAATTAACAATTATTAACTTAATTCGTAGTAAATAGTGGCCATAAACATTTCTAAGGCCACTATACACCAAGTTTGTTGAAATGATTATCAAAACATTTTCAATTTACTCAGAAGCTGTCTGAAGCAATGGTCACACTGCAAAACTCAGCGGTATGGACAATATCTTACGCAGGCCTACAGCCAGACTGCCCGAGCAGAGACATTCATAGATAGCTGTTTCCCCCCTTGTTTGGGTTTATCAGCATGGCATAACAGTCAAGGAAGGGTGAAAAGGCTGTCAGAGAGACTGGGGAGACTCGCATGATGTGCGGACGTGTTTTTTGAGTAGTACGTCCGAGAACGTTCTTCTCTCCGCCCTAAAATGTCAAGAAAAGAAAGTGAGGAAAGCATTAATACACCTTCTGTTGTACGAAGAAAACGTGATGAAAGGTTTAGTAGCGGAAGCTCGCCCGAGGTACCTCCAACCAAGTCGGCGAAGCAGACTCTCTAAGAGTTAGCAACAGCGGGAACGATAGTAGCGCTTGGATAGTCCTAAACAAGATTCGTAGGAACACAGACGAACTATTGGAAGAAAACCGTGCTATTTGAGGGTAATACGAAGAATTAAAGGAATCTTTAGACTTCAAAAATGCAGAACTGACGTCTCTCAAAAAAGAAAATAAAGATCGAGCTTAAAGATAAAGTGTCGAGGTAAGAGCAGATGTCGACATCCTCTACGAAGATCTTGGAACGGCGATAACCCAAGTAGATGACGTGAAACAGTATACAAGAAAACACAACATGGAGATTCATGGAATTGCCGAAACTACAGGCGAAGATATTGCTGAAAATGTTGTTAAGCTTGGAAAGGTCGTCAACGTGCATATTTCTCCCACTGATATCGACAGTTGTCACAAAACCGGACCTCGTAACAGCAGCGGCTCCAAAGCTATTATTGTTCGGTTTAAATCACATAAGAAGAAAACTGAGCTGTACAAAGATAGGAAACATCTAAAGTCAGTGAGTTTAAATCAGTATTTTCATGCTACAAACGTGGTATATGTCGATGAAAATCTGACATATTTAAGGCGCAAGTTGTTTGCTAAAATTAGAACGAAAATAAGATAATCATTAGTATAGTGCCTGGACTTTGGACGGCAAAATATTTATTAATATTTATTATCTAACAGCTTTCATACTTTTAGCCATTATCTCTTAATTGCTAGATATTACGATTACTTAGCTAGAAAAAATGTTCTCCTGGAAATTGAAATCCAGTGCGAAAGAGAAATTGCAATAACAAACGGAAATCTTAACAAATACAGAAATAAGTGGACCACCCTGTGCATTTCTGATTAGTGTTGATTTATCGTAATTTAGCAAACGCGCACTATTATTACTTTTCTATTGTTTTTCTAGTTGTTGTTAATCTGTTGAACTTTCCGTATTTTGCTTTGTTTTGCTTGTTTATTTGTTTGTTTGTTTGCTTTTTCACTGTTTTGCCCCCATTTTTGGCCGCCCTGTTATTGTAAAGTTTATCGTAATGTTATGTTGAATGATATTAAATAAATAAAATCAATAAAAACAAGAAAACTGAACGGCTGTCAGTTGCTGCCACTACCCAGCATGCAGCGAGTACGCGAAAGGAAGAGTCCACTGAGATGCGCAGTTTAAATACTGTCAGTCAAATGTTTTTACAGTTAAGTGGCAATTGCTTAAATTGCGTTTGCAACTTCGAGGGTCATATCTTCACTTAAAAACAGGTCGGGAACAAACGAGTCTACACATAAAGCACCTCTTTCTTCACCCAGTCTCTCTCCTCCCTGATAGGCACTTCTTACCTTTATTTTCTATAGGACGACAGCCGCACGTTTTAATGACAAACTCGGTCAGACATCGCATAAGACACGCCGGCTTGGAATAAACCGTGTAACCGATGTTTCCAAGGCCCTCTAGGTTTTTCGTGGTGCAATTGGCTAAATACGGTGATGGTAAGTTTATTATCTGAAAATAAAAAAAGTTTTGCAAATGTGATGGTATTCTTAAGTGCACCCAGTATTTCGTAGTATAGCCATAAATATGCTCGATAGGAAAGAATATGATAATCCCTCGTCCACATTTTTATCTCAGTGTAGGTCAACCCGCCAGGAATAAATTTCTTCGAGCATGCAAACGACAGAAATATATCAAACATACCGTATTTATTTGATTAACCGCCTGGGCGCTTGTTAAATTTTTGGACCTTGAGAGTGGGCGCTTTTTCGAGGCTGGATGCTTATTAAATTTTCACCACTCTCAGCAAGTGTATTATGTTTATTTTGCAACAAAACAATGTACGGTAATAACAAAGAGCGAAGATGTAACAAAGCAAGGTTTCTGTAAAATACTCTGAAGAAAACTCCGTTTTCGGGAGGGTTTCTTATTATCTCGTATTTGAGTTTATGTGGAAGGGAGTGGGGGAAGGGGGGGGCGCTTATTACCTTTTTCTGCCTTTAGGATGGGCGCTTATTGGAGGTGGGCGCTAATTCGAGGTTGGGCGCTTACTCGAATAAATGCGGATTAACTAACCTCTTTTCTTTTCAGTGCGCATAGGTTACGAACTCCAGGTTGAACTACAAAACCAAACTGTTCCATGAAAGGAAAGGTGTTTTGATCGTGTACCAGAACTATAAGCCCGACAAAGGGATTTTTTGGATTATCCAGGTAACTATCTCTTTCTACATGCAACAGCAGCTTCAAGCCGTTTAGATGACCTGCCATGGTAGCGTTTATCAGAGGAAAGTCATAATTTCCAGAGTTGAAAGTATAGCACTGGCCAAACACAGAACTGATAAAGGATGAAAAGTTTCTTGAGTCGCAAGGAAAACCATTGATTTCGCAAGACTGAAATGTTGGGCTTGGAAGGAGCATTTCATCGATTCGATGACTAAAGAGTGTGAGATAACAATTATCTGAACCATCTTCGCAGCCTTTTCGGTCGAACAAGTAGGAAAGTTCTTTGTTTGACGGAGTGTTGAAAAAATCTGTCGATTTTGCCAGCATTGCTTCGAAGGCCTTAAAATTAAGTGCAATGACATCATTGTCTAACATATTTTTTGTCTTCATAAAGTTAATATACCTTCGCCGATTAAAAAAATTAAAATTGCACAGAGTTACCGCGGGGAAGGTTAAATTTCTGTGTATATTTGCTCCTTTTGTTGTAATTCTTGTAATGAATGGTCGACTGTAATACGCAGTCAATGCTTGAACAATTTGATAGACGCAGAAACCGAAACAAGAACCGAGAGCCACTGTCCAAATCAGTCTCCTAAAAAAGTTTCCATTGAATAGAAATCGAACACCATGTAGCGTAGTGTCTTGTATGAAGGATCGGAGGTTTTCTGTAGGTGCTTCTTCCCTTCCGTTAGGTTTCTGATCTTGCCATGCTTGCTGTCCAATAATAGACATGATTTTACTTCTTTTCATGACACGAAGCTTCGTGCTTGGTTTAGATACGATGCCTTACAATATTATTCTGATTTTCCCGTTCATTAAACGAAACTCTGTCTTAATCACTGTAGTTGATGGAAAGAAAGTACATGAATTATGAATTATTCTAATCACTTAGGTGTGTGCTAATAAGGAATTTTGCTAGACTAATAATACTAATATTACTTAAGATTTGATTAGGGGTATTTTGTTCTACAAGTGCACTCAAAACGCCTGTCAATCAGTTAAGATTCATTAACTTGAAGGGAATGATTTTCAATCCTAATAAGAAGTTCCTTGATGCTTACAAAAGCAGCGACGGAAGCTATATTATTAGCATAGTTTGCTGCAGGAACAGTAAAATAATAACTTAAATAATTAGTACTGGCTCGGTTTTCAAGCTGTGTACTGTAATCACAAAAATTACTTTGTCAGTTAGTGCCAGTATGTTAGATGCCGGCGTTTGTTACTCTTTACAAGACAGTTTTTGACAAATATTAGTGAAAGCCGGGGAAAAACTAGCATGATATTTATTTTTTGTTACCTTTTTCCTGATCTTCATAAACTCCCTGAAGATGTTTACATAATTCGCTCTTTGAAAAGTCAATATAACAATTTTATCTCTCTACATATGTTTTGATTCTCACGCGATGCTATTATTTGTTTTCTTACACGACTCTCAAACCTAAATTTAAACCCTTTGAAGATACACAAAGGAATACCGAGCTCACAGGTTAATCAATGACACCCGCGGGCTTTGATTATATAAATTACATAAGATATTGTACTGTAAACTGATCAATAGAAAAGATTTCAAAATGCTTTCAGAGACTCCACCCGCTGGCAATATAATATTCTGGAGTTGACTTTTTTCTGTCTTTTTTTTTCGTCGTGATTATAAAAGATTTTGTAGCCCACAAATTTTCAATATGGCAATGGAATTGATGCAACTGTTTCTTTGAAATACCGTATTTATTCGAATAAGCGCCCAACCTCGAATTAGCGCCCACTTCGAATAAGCGCCCATCTTAAAGGCAGAAAAAGTTAATAAGCGCCCAGCCTCGAATAAGCGCCCACCCCCTCCTCCTCCCAATCAAACTCAAATAAGCGCTCACCCCCACCCCACCCAATTGAGTGAATAAATTCTAATAAGAGACTTCCCGGAGGACGGAGTTTTCTTCAGAGTATTATACAGAAACCTTTCTTTGTTACTTCTTCACGTTTTGTTATTAACATTTATTGTTTTGTTGCAAAATAAACATACTTCACTTGCTGAAAATAGTGAAAATTTAATAAGCGCCCAGCCTCGAATAAGCGCCCACCTCGAATAAGCGCCCACTCTCAAGGTCCAAAAATTTAATAAGCGCCCAGGGCGGTTAATCGAATAAATACGGTAGCTGCATGCCGTTTACCACTTGTGAAACTAACATTTTCATGTCAAGCCCGAAAAAAATGAGTATTTTTACGAGTGTGTCAAGATCCCTATAATTATTAATTGTTCTTGAATTTAGTGCTTTAATAAACTCTTCAAACGTTTTTTTCTAGGATACTTTAATAGCTATTGAGGTTATTAACTTATTCCTTCTTACTTGAGTTAGTAGAGCGATTTTCGTATGACCTTGAAATGAAAACGCACGAACAAAACAGAAACAACAAACGAACGGAAATAGAGCGATTTGATTGGTTTCTCGAACGGATACAAACGCGCGTGGCTTTTGGTTAGTTAAGCGAACGCTCGGGTGAAAAACTTCCTGCCGGGGAACTTTCTAGAAATCAACCTGCAATACGATTGGCCAATCGAGCAATGCCTTCTCCATATTAGGGTTTTCTTTGGCGGGAAAACGAAGAAGTCATGTTTTGATCTTTTCATCCATTGGCTGATAAAACGAATAACGAACACTTGCTGAAACCATTTTTCAAGGTCATACGAAAATCGCTCTAACTCAGTCCCTACTTTATCAGAAACGAGCTTGATGCCTGTAAATATGCTTAACACAGACTGTCTGTTTCTACAAATTTAAAAAGCGCTCAAGAAATGTTACTAAAGCAGGGAAAGGGGAAAGACCACGGAAAACGGGAAAAATTTGGACAAAACAGCGAATGGGTAATAAAGGTTAAGTACTGAATTGTTCCGTTAATTTAAGATGTGGCAACTTTATCTCCGTAAAAACCAGGTTGGATGAGGGTCTTAGGAAACGGATTTGTTCAGTCAGGAACCCTCATGGTAAGAAAATCATTTCTTGACCATACATTTCCCGTGACCGACGACCGAATGACTGTCCTCCTGCCAAATGTAAAACCAAGGCATGCGGAGTGAAAATAATTAATTATGTAGAAAACCCACAGTTCAAAAAAATCGCTTTTCCAATGCAACGGCATCTTTTAATTTGAAAACTTTGAACTACTCTTTTAAAATTCGAAACTGAAACTAATAGAACGCCGAGAATGAGGAAAAGCTAAAAATAACTCTTGAACGGGAGCTCCGCCTTTAGATTTGGCTATATCTAATGTTGCTTTTGCGTTATAAACCTCTGGGTTTTGTAAAACTTAACAAAATAATGTGCCATCTCCTTTGAGCATACTAAAAAACATAAAATACCAAATTAATAGATCTAACCACATGTTATTATACAGGGCACGTTGAAGTGAGTCCAAGTTCTTGGTGTTGGATCTGCGTGATAATTCAACAAGATTGAATCAACGCAAATTGGCTGGATTGTGTGGATGCGTTAGCTAAATTAATACCGATCCAACGCCATTTAGCAGAGCGTTTGAGTGAACTTGGTATGTTGCATCCAACAACTTTGGTTGACGGTTGACTAACTGGATCCGTTAAATCGAGAGTAATTTGATTTTTGCAGGGCATTTTTGTCCATTGATCTTTTCAGTAAAGCTCTTGAACTTTCTCAAGAAGCTCGTGCGGAAAACCCATGCAAAGAAGTCTTGACTAGTAAGTACAGAGCTAGAGGAGCTAGAGATCACGATCTATTTTTCTTCATGCCTAATTCATGGGCTAAGATTCATTCCAGATGAAAACACAGAATCGTCTGAGAGCGAAGTCAACAAACTCGAGAAGTGTCAGGATATTCATACCGAGAAAAAGACCAAAATTGCCACCCAGAGTCGCTGAAAGAAAAGGGGAAAAGAAATGACATTTATTCAAATTTAAAATTTCAATTATCACCCGACTGTCTTAACATGTCAATTTCTTTGTTTTGGAAAGAATTTTGTAGTGTGTCTGTCTCCACGTTTGGGACGGATAATAATCAGGATCTACAATCGAAGATCTTCAGAGCATAGACAAGAATTCATCATGCGCCATGATTCGAGTGATCTTGGAACACAAATCCTGACTTCATTCTTCCTAAGTGAACGCGTCTTGAGCATGAAGGAAAGGCATTGGGGTGAATAGCATAGGATAGTTTCTTTTTAGATAGCAAATTAGACTCGCTCTTAGCTTTATTTACTGCGTGGTTTGGTATTTATATTAATTTTACTTATTCATTATTACTTTGATTACGCAGGGAAACCTACAACAAAAGACTCACCAACTAAAGACCAATCTGTAAACTGTGGAGTCTGTCTAATCTCATCGTAGCTCAGTTCTTGGAAAAAGATATCGAGGGAAACGATGTTATCACTGCATGGTAAGAAAGGCAGAAATTATGTTTAGGAAATTGTCAAATCAAAGTTGATTATTACTTATTATTATTCATTCAAAATATTTCCCCGATTCTGATTGGTTACAAGCACACGTTTAATTCACCATAACCAGTTACTGATGACCAAAATTGGAAGAAATTTGACTTTAACGAGGAAATGACGTCAAAAATGCAGCGTTTTCGCAGGTTAAGGCACCGTTAACCGAGAAGACCTGGGAACGAGGTTGAGTTGTTTTGGTTGTGAACTTATTTTGAATGAATAATAAAACAGTTATTGAATTCGGCTTTCGTATCATATGAAGAATTATGGAGATCTCGGAGAGTGTTATCAACCTCGGCCTACGGCCTCGACGGATAACACGCTCCTATAACATCCTCCTCGATCTCCATAATTCTTCATAAGGTACTCAGCCTCATTCATTAACTGTTAAGTAAGTCGCTCAAAAGTTAGGGGAAATTTAAACGGAGCGAACAAGACAGTGGTAGAAAACTCAAAACTCTGCGGCGATTTCCATGCGTGAGAAAATATCATTTAAACATTACTTCTGTCCGCAAAATAGTCTTTTATTGATATGTCACCCCAAAGAAAACTTACTCTATGTACTGCTTCTTTTCTGAATATGATATGTACAGAAAATTCTCGAATCCTGGAAAGTTCTCACTGTTATTTAATGCTGCGTTGAGTTTTTTAATGAACACATTCCTCTGCAAACCGGCATATGATAAGGATATTTCATAGTCTGTGTGGTGGCATGGTTCCTGGCAGCTTTTTTCGCACTCCTCCTTTTCCTTTGATTTACCAAATGATTCTGTCCAAAACAAATCGAAAATATAACATGTGTTGTAATCCCTTTTTATAATTGTGAGTATAGAGTTATTGAATGAGTGAATGAATGACTTCCTTGATAACTGATTCACTTATTTTCTGTCATTTGCTTTAATGCAGGGTGACAGAGTGGAAAGAGAAAGTGATGACTGGCTGGCTGACAGACGTGTTTTATGATGCCGCCATTTGATGGTTCACAACCTGATTGTCCGAATCAATGGCAGCTCGGCTGTCCTATTTATTGACTATCTAGCACAAAATTCAAACGCTGATCATGAATGGTTTGTTGAAATTTACACCGACTGATCGCAGAAATTGCTGAACATTTGACTGATGTCCTCACATTAAGTAATGGATTGATTGCTGATTATATTGATTAAATCATTGATTGATGGATGGACGGTCGAATGAATTTTATGGTTGTTTTCTAACAATTTCTCAAATTTCTATCATATCACATCGCTTTGGTGGACCGAATGCTCTCAAACCGTGCCTGTTGTGACCTTTTTAATACTGACGAGATCATAGGTTAATGAGAAAAATAAAAACGCTTACCATATGCTGGAAGTAAGCAGAACACAGTGTCATTTGAAGCACAAAGTGGAAATGTTGGATCTAGGAAGGAAGTTCGATGTTAATTTGAGTAGAAATCTGCACTGAGTCTAAGATGCATTCTGTCGTCCAGAACACAAATAAAAACGACTCTTCAAAGTTTATAGAAAATAATTTTTGCTTTATTGTATCCTCCTACACTTTACGGCCGCGGCATTAAGCATGCAGTTAGATGCATTTAAAATCTGCTGCCTTCTTCCAATATACTAAATCCGACAGAATGGCGTGAGAAGATCCCTAACACAGAGGTTCTCGCAGCTGTGACATGCTAGGTATCGAGATAGTCGGCTAAACTGAGATGGCCATCTCCTACTTTGAGGCAGCTATTGTCATCAACCTGAACGACAAAAGAGTTCAGTGCAAAGCCAGGTTCAACCTAACCCGAACATCTGCGGTCAGTTCTTCAAAAACAATCCCTTTTTGGCCTGCATGATCCCACAGGAGACCTCGGGGAGCAAGGGTGGAACAGTGGTGAGAGCACTCACCTCCCACCAATGTGGCCCGGGTTCAAATCCCGGTGACGGCGCCATTTGTGGGTTGAGTTTTCTGATGGTTCCCTCCCTTGCTCTGAGAGGTTTTTCTCTGGGTACTCCTGTTTTCCATTCTCCTTCAAAACTAACGTAACACTTCCAAATTCAAATTCGATCTGGATTGCACGGACACGTTTCAACGATTTCTTAAATAAAAACTTGAAATTACAGTTACAACATGCAACATCTATCTTAGATACTGCACTGTAATTTTCAGGGAGTTATAATAACTCCTCTAGTGGGGCTAATTTAACTCCTTACAGTGGAGTTATTTTTCGTGGAGTTATTTTAACTCCAAAAAGGAGTTTAAAGAACTCTTTTTCAGGAGTAAAAGTGACCACAGATTTTGAGGAGTTAAAATAACCCCAAAAAAGGAGTTATCCTGTACCTAAAATTTTTACTCCACTTTCAGAGTTAAATTAACTCCAAAAAGAGTGAAAACAACCCCTGTAAGGAGTACAAGTAACCCCATTTCGGAGTAATTTTAACTCCAAGACTGGGAGTAAAAAGAACTCTTTTTCAGGAGTAAAAATGACCCCAAATTCGGAGTTAAATTAGGAGTTAAAATAACACCAAAAAAGGGGTTATCCTGTACCTAAAATTTTTACTCCATTTTTGGAGTTATAATAACTCCCTAAAAATTACGGTGTGTGTAGCAATGGTATCTCATTAAAGTACTCATTATTAGTATCGGCGTCGAAATGTCAGGGTGATCTAGCCATATCTTGACTTCTTAGCTTTATATTCTATGGGGCGACATCCGCATGTTTTGATAACAAATTGACTCAGACATTGCATCAGACAGGCAGGTTTGGAATACGTGTAGTTAGTCTTTCGAAGAATATCCAAGTTTCTTGTGGTGCAGTTGGCTAAATATGGGGATGGCAAGTTTATAACCTGTAAGATAACACAGTATTTTTTAACGTGTGAACGAAGACCGTATTCTAAAATGCGCCAGTTCAACTTAATTATGCAGTAAAAGCCAAGAGTTACAATAACTTTAGCAAAAGTGGCAAGATTAGTCCGGGGGAAATTTCTATGTTTTTCTTTTTTGTAGGATGCGCTTGTGTTGTTTCGGGGCAGGCAAAGGCGCTTAAAAATTTACCGAGAATGCAGAATATTAATGCAGAGATCTAACTAACCTTTTTCCTTCTTATTGCGCAAAGGGTACGAACTCCAGGTTGAACTGCAAAGCCAAACTGTTCCATAAAAGGAAAGGTCTGTTGATCATGTGCCAGAACCGTAAGTCCAACGTATGGATTTGTTGGAGTATCCAGGTAACTGTCTCTCTCCACTTGCAACAACAGCTTCAAGCCGTTTAGGTGACCTGCCATGCTAGCGTTGATTAGAGGAAAGCCATAATGTCCAGAGTTGAAGGTGTAGCACTGGCCAAACACAGAGTTTATGAACGATGAAAAGTTGCTTGAGCCACAAGGAATACCATTGACATCACAAGACTCAAATGTCGGGCTCGGAAGTAGCATTTCATCGATTTGATGACTAAAAAGTGTAAGATAACAAGTATCCGAACCATCCTCGCAAATTGTTCGGTCGAACAAGTAAAAATGATCTTTTTTTGACGAGCTGTTGAAGACATCGTTTGATTTTGACAGCAATGATTCTATAAACTTGAGGTTAAGTTTAATTTCATCATTACTAGACGTATTTCTTGTCTTCATAAAGTTAATGTACCTCCGCCGATTAAATGAATTAAAATTGCAGAGACTTACGGCTGGAAATGTTAGATTTTCGTTCATGTTTCCTCCTTTTTTTGTGATCCTTGTGTTGAATGGTTTACCATAAAACGCATCCACTGCTTTAAAGATCTGATAGATACAGTAACCGAAACAAAATCCGAGAGCTACTGACCAAATCAATCTCCTGAAATAGCCTCCACTGAATAAATGACCAGAGAGCCTTGGATCCTGTTAGAACTCAATATATTGAACGTGGGCTATTGTGGAAGAGCTGGGGAAGAGGCAAGGCAGTTCTGCTAGAAACATGTGTTATCTTAACCTGATTGTTTCACCAGGTAAATGGTAAGTACCCAGCACTTCCGCGAACTTCTACGCCTTTGAACTTCATCGCCAAAGGTGAAGTGATCTTAACGCTTACAAAGGTAACTTTGAGCTGCACATTTTTGGAGAGTTCTTTGTCTTTTATCCAGCTTGCAGGTCTTTTGCGTTACGAACTGATTCCAATTTACAATGCGGTTTATCAGTGGATTTCTAGGCATATTTTATTATCCAGGAAGACCTGCACGGCACTGCAATGGTACCTCTTTTGACGTCCTAAAAACTATCGGTCGAGTCTTTTACCTACCCTCTTCAGGATACTGTTTTCCTTCCTGCTCCCTTACCGGTAAAAGGAAGACAAACTTTGCAACCTAGACCAATATTTGGAAACCGCGCTTCTTGCAAGACGCTTCAGTGACATCTCCGCACCGCGAATCACCTAAAGAGTTCGTGCGTCGACTGTACATGTCCCGGTCTCTTATGCGTGCAATGTCCGGGACTGAGCTTACAATGATCGCCTAATTACGCCATAGTTCAGATCTGCCATGATCAAGCAAATACAAAACTTGAAGTCTAAAAATTTCTTTTTCTATTTTATACTATTAATCGCGATTTGTTAAAATGTTAGAAAATTACCTTGAAATGATTTTCTGTTGTTTTAAATGGAACTGTTCTAGCTGGAGTAAATCAGGAATATTTTCAAAAGTTTGTTATTGTTTTGTTGACTTGACCAAGGTCTTCGACCCAGTCATCAGGAAGGGCCTATTCAATCTCTTGCAGAAGATTTGATGCACCCAGCCACAAGCTCCAAGGGATGACAGCGTTTTCCATGAAGGAACCGTCCAGTACGAAGGCTCAACCTCAGACCCGTTCCCAATCAAGAGCGGAGTGAAACAGGGCTGTGTACTTTCTCCCACGCTTCTCAGCATCTTTTTCTCCTCCTAGTACTGTCTTACGCCTTCATCCACTCAGTAGATTGTGTGTACCTTCACACCAGAAGTGACGGAAACTTCTTCAACCTTGCACGCCTCCAAGTAAAGACCAAGTTTCGGAAAGTACTGATTAGCGAGATGCTATTTGCAAACGACGCCGTCCTTGCCGCACATACTGAGGGTGCTTAAAAGCGATTCATCAGCTCCTTCGCTCATGCCTGTTGCGAATTTGGTCTCACTACAGTCCCAAGAAGACCAGCATCCTTGGCCGAGACGTCAGCAGCTCGAGGTGGTCGAGGACTTCACTTACCTAGGCTCCACCATCTCCAGCAACCTGTCCCTACACAGCGAACTGAACAAACGGATTGGCAAACCAGTAGCAGCCCTCTGTCTGGCACATCTCGGAAAGAGGGCCTAGGACAACACGATGTTCACCATCAGCACCAAGATACAGATGTACCAGGCCTGTGTACTTAGCACGCTGCTCTACGGCAGTGAAACCTAGACCCTCTACCCCCGCCAAGAGCGCAGACTCAACACTTTCCACCTGCGCATCCTTAGAAGGATTTTGAGAATCACCTGTCAAGACCGTGTCCACCTAGTATGTTTGCATTACTCAGTCAGAGACGGCTGCGCTGACTTGGCCATGTTGGCCACATAGAGAGAATTCCTAAGGAAATACTCTACGGTGAGCTTAAACGAGATCTGAAGGCAGGCAATATCAGCCCTGCAGGATGGGTAGCAATAGCTACAGACCGAAGTCACTGGAGGCTTGCTGTCAAGGCAGGCACTCAGGCTGGTGAGGAGAAGAAAGAGCGCAGACGGCTAAGGGAAGCATCACAGAGCTACGATGCAACAACTGCGACAGAGCCTACCGATCCAGAATCGGACTGTACTTACAGCCACAGGCAGGCGCTGCAACTCAACCACTGACTAAATCTTGGCGCTGATTCCATTGTCTCCCGAGACAGGTGGATACCGACAAGTCTCATTTCTCAAATTTATTTATGAACAACTGTAAAACAAGTTCGCTTTCTTTATGCGACCCACTTTTCGATACGTGAATGGGACGCACTCAAGTGCATGCCGTGTATTTATAAGTAAAAGGTTGAAAACTGAAGAGGGATATTTCTAGCAGGAATTGTTTTCATTTATGATAATCTGTGTAGTGAATTAAATCTTAGTCGTAACTCTTTGCAGGACATTATGCTACATCTCAATTTTAAATTATTAGAAAGAATTTTTCATTCACGAAGCGTTAAATCAGCTTGGTTTCTAAACTATCCGGTAAGTCTTCAAAGAAAAGGAAGTAGGATCATATTTCTTGCTCTAACATTGGAACCCTTGTCTTTTCCACTGCAAAAGCAGAAGTAGAGGAAAAACTTTGCATAAATTTAGGTAAATTTTAATTAAGAAAGAAAGCTTTTTTGGTATTTGAAAGTCTGACGCAGCTTGACAACTCTGTCGAAAATACTGACCGAAACACGACAGTTCTTTGGATTTATCACACCCATACGAAACGCTCGTCCTCTGGGATAAGGAAAGACCATTGGCGTCTCATACACTGATGCCTTTCAGGACAAAAGTATGTCATAGAGATAATGATATTTGTTACGACGAAGAGAAGAACGCAGCTGAAATGAATGAAGTTCACAGAACAGCGCAGGGTGGTGGAAAACACAAGCCATAACATAAGCAGACGTTTAATAACAAAACAACCTGTTTTGGCATTGAAGGCCTAACGCAGCTTGACAACTCTGTCGGAAATAACAACGGAACCGCTAAACTAGAACCATCACGACAGTCCTGTCATGAGTCTCTTGGATTAAACACCCATAGGAATCTCTTGTAAAAAAGACCATACAACCATGCCTTTCAAGATAAAAGTGTCTGATAGCGATGATATTTGTCCCGACGAAAACAAAAACGAAGCTGAAGTGAATAGATTTCACAGAACAGCGAAGGATAAAGAAAAAAAAGGAGATCATATGCCTGAAACACTGCAATGCTTCTTGAATGCAACATCTCTTCATGGGGCTCGGTTCCTTTATGCTGACAATTTGTTGCGGCGAATTGTCTGGGGCCTGGCTATTCTAGCATCTTTTTCAGTTTGCTATTATCAGTCGTACTTATCAATGAAAGAGTTTTATCAAAGGCCGTTTATTACGAAGATTACCTCGAAAAGCCCAGAAAGAAACGAGATAATTTTCCCAGCGGTTACACCTTGCAATTTTAATAATGCAAACATGAAGAAGGTTCGATATACACTTTCTCGTAATTATGATTTAAACGAGGAGGAAGTCGCTAAAAAAGCTGATCAAATTTCAAGAATTCTTTTGCTGTCGAAAGACACTATGAAAGACGACTTGGATGGGATTGACGATTTATTTCTACGAGATGGGGAAGCAGTGCTGAAGGAACATGGCCATCAGATTGATGAAATGCTCCTCCCAAATGTTCCACCGACATTTATATCTTGTTCATTTGATGGCTTGCAATGTGGGGCAACCAACTTCACTAGCTTCATTAGCTCATTCTACGGGCAGTGCTTTACATTTAACTCAGGCCGAAATGGAGGACAACTCTTGAAAGTTAGAATGGCGGGTAAAAACAGCGGGTTAAAGTTGCGCTTAAATATACAGCAAGACGCCTACTTGAAAAATGCCAAGAGGCCGTTTGTTGGGATGGCAGTTCTTGTACATGATCAGAAAAACTTTCCCTTTATGGAAGAAGTCAGTCTTGGAGTTGCACCAGGGATTCAAACCTTTTATTCTTTTAAGATGAAACAGGTATTAAAAAAGTAATACAACCTTTGAGATAGCTGCACATTGGCCGTTTTCACAAAGAGAGAAAGGTCATCCGTCTCAGAAGGGCTATTATATCGGTTGGATAATTCGAAGGTGAAAAAGAAATTGTTTCAATTTTGGACAAATAATCCGTCTGCCTTTATTCTCTTAATTTGTCTGCGGTTTATCCGTCAATTTTGACGGATTTTGAAGACTTATTATTCGTAGACGAATAATCCGTTTCTAGCGTGAAAACGGCCATCGGTTAAAATAATCCTGTAAGGTTTTGCTTTAGCCCTTTAAAAGGACATTTGTTGGTAATTATATAATCATAACTCTGATTTGCGAACCTCCTTCGAAAAAATAGTTATTTTTGGTTTACTCTTACGAATTATTAATGATCAGGTTAAGGTATACGTATTGTTACCATTGTTTTCTTCCGGATAAACTTCGCCATTTTTAAAATGCATTGATAAATAAACATAACAATAATATAATATATATTAATTTATACAGCCCAAAATTCAACAATGTTTTCAAATGCACCTTACAATTTTGAAATAAAACTAAAATATAATTTAAAAAATACCATTCATTCAAAAAATCAGTCTTGCTACCTTTTACGATAATTTAGAAGCTATATGAACAATTCCCATCGTCTTTAGTCTTTGTTGTTAGACTGTTTGATTTGACACATAGTCAAAGGTGAGAGGGTATTATGGGAAATATTTTTCGTTCATTTTAATGATTCCCAACTTTTTGTTATCGCTGCAATCGTGACGGAAAAAAAGCTCAGCAATCTCAAGGATGAAATGGAAAAAACAACCCCTCATAAACTATTGCAAATATCGCATCGATTGCAGGTGGTTTCTTTGTGTGTTTTGAATCGATCGTGGGTCGTAAAGTAAGAGCCGCGCGAAAGCTGAACAGAGATCGAACAGGAAAAAGATGAGGGAGAAAAGTTTTCTATACCTTCTCTCTTTCTTTCGCCCCCTTCTTCATCGTTTCCTTGTTGGACCTCCTCAACACCCGAACGAAAAACACACCAAAAAAAGCATATCCGGATTCAGTTCTCTTGTGACCGCTATTTAAAGATATATAGCGTTTGTTTTACAATAAGTCTTCTAGCAAGACTAATTCAACTTAGCGGCCTCCAGTGTGTAAATGTATCTCAGGGAAGCCATTTTCCAAATCAGGATGGCGGACGCTGAGAAATTAAAAGACGGCCGCATTCCTGCATAGTTATTCAGCTTCCGCGATCATATTAAAATTTGTAGTTTCTTTTAATGCTAGGCAAAAGTGAATTTCTATAGCTGGGTGACAACTTATTTTTATCAATTAAACTAAAGTAATTATTAAAACTGATTGTATGAAAGTGAACATGATCTTTGCGGGAGAATGAACGATGTAAGCGGTTGAAAAAGAACCTGAAAGACACGAAAAATTCGGGCTTTTTTGGGAATCGAACTCTGACTTTGCGATGACTGGAGACAATGTTCCATCCATGGAGATAATCAAGCCAGCTGCAAGGCAGATCATTGTGAGTTTGGATTATACCCCGATGGTGGAAGTGATATGAAATGAAATACAGAACTTTGAAACGATTGATTGACTGTGCTGTCTTTTCCGTCTGCAGATGCGTAGTTTGGAAGCCCCATATCAGACTAACTGCACCCAAAGAACATTACAAATGTTAAGCACTGGTGATGTGTACAATTACACCAAACTGGCCTGCCTTAAAAAGTGTGAAAACCAGGTTATTGTCAAAAAGTGTGGATGTCGACCTCCAATGTTTTACGGTAACGTATTTCCCACTTTATAAAGGTAGTTTGGTTTGTAAAAATGTTTCAGTATCGCTTACAAATATTCATCCTCCTCTATGGGTACTTTCTTAATCAAAAAAATTTAATGCTATCTTTATGCGCATAGACTGTATTCAGTGCACAATTTGGCCTTAAATTTTCCTTACTCTTCGACAATTTCTCGAAATTTTTACGGATGGCACTTGATTTAATCAAGACAAAATAGAAGCTTCTCTTGACCCATTCATATTAGAGGTGTTCTTTCAAACGCACTATTGAAATCACTCATGATAGAGAAAAAGTATGTACTCTTGGCCTGACAGTAAATTTCAGTTGATCTGGGGATGTTGGTTTTTGACGCAGGTAAGCCCCTGCCTCGTGCTAACAGAGACGACACTATAATGCTAGCCCAGCTCGAGAGAGTACTTTCCTAACGCTATGGTTTGCACGAGAAAATGAGGTTATTGCTCATGATCCAGACCAACAATGACTTGGCTTCCAAGTCTAATACACCCGTTTCCTGAGTGAAAAACAATCGTCCACGCATTTCCAGAGCGATCGTTTTAGGTTTGTTCGAGTTTTTGCTTCCCTAGCAGATTATTGCCATGAAAGGAAAAGCATTTGTCATTCTCACATGATTTTCTCATTTTAGGGACATCTAAAGTCTGTGCTCCGAATGATACAGTATTTTGTGTTTTTCCCGCTCTTGGTAAGTTCTTAGTAAGAATATGATCGTTATTAATGTAAATAAATGTACATTGGACAAAGGATGGCATGAAAAATACACGTTTACTCTGCCACTGTTGTAATTCTGATGTAAAAACCTCGCCGTCAAAATCTTCCGCCCTACAGTATTTATTATTTATTTGTGCATGACAAACCAATTTTTCTAAGCTTCAATTGAGAAGTACAGATGAACATTTGCTAGGTAGCAAGGCAGATGTAGCGATAGGCTGGTCTCTGTCTATCAATTATTCATTTCCCATTCAGTCCAATAATGTCAAACGTACCTCCCTCCTTTTTTACGAGGGAAGTGCTAAATAATCGGCGGCTAAAAGAAATACTCCAATAGCAACACCACTACCCATTCTTCTGCATTTGCAACTTTTACTCTAAAAAAAGATAACTTACGATTAAAACTAAGACTTCTCTTAATGATCAGAGACTTCTTTTCCTTTGAAAACAATTTCTAACAATTTGTAGAAAGTCTTATTTCATCTGAGGAGCAAAGAAAATGTGAAGAGGATTGTCCACTACCCTGCGAGGAAAAAGAGTACGAGTCATCTTTATCGTACGCTCGCCTCGAGAGAAATATTTTTGAGGAACATCTCATGGCATTTCTTAAGACATCACCAACTCATAACCCGTCGTTATACAGTGAATATCAGCCATTTCTCAACATGACTACAGCAGAAAGGCGTGATTTCATAGAGTAAGTTGTCTAAATCAATAGATAGTATTTTATGGGCCATTCTGGAGTAGGCAAAAAAATACACCTATGAACTTACCATGGTACCCTTTCACATACCTATTTACAGTGAGTCTTCTTGTCATTTTATACAGCGTTTAATAAATTAAATTGATTCAACCATTACTGAAGAGCATCTGTTCGAAATATTTTAGTTAACGCCTTTTTTTAAAATAACTAAATAACGAATTTCACTACCCTTTCATATTTACAAACTTGTGAAATCCATACCCTTTTAAATACGTAAAGTCTGCAAAAGGTACCCCTCGCGGGCGGAAGTTCCGCGTGTAGGCCATCACGGGGAGCCAGTCCAGCTTATAGAATTAAATAAGACTTTACTTACCTAATTTTGTTTCTTCTTGTAGCAACAACATCGTTTCCTTGGACGTCTACTTTAGCGATTTACATTATCTAGAGTTCAAACAAGTGCCTTCTTTTGCGCCCTTTAGTTTCATTGGTTAGTGTATTACTTGTGGTTCATACTCAGAGCTTAGGTTACTCTGCTCTATGATTACATAAGAGATGCATTAAGTGATGCAAGCACTATTCAGTTCTTAGACGCCTGTTTATACTCTGATACTGGATAGACTAAAGTTCCAAGCTAAACAAACAATTATCCCAAGTGTCATGTGTGTCAGTGGTATATGATAAAACCAGAAACTCATCACACACATAACGCCGTCAGCCCAAACCATCATTCGCCTCGCCACCATTTACTTTATGATCACTATCGCCGCATTGCTTTCGCTAAAATTACGTCTTAATCGTAATAATCACATCGTGATCGCTGTTTCTCAGTGTGGTTACAGACGGACAACGCGGATCGCTTTTACTACATCGCTCTATCAAGAGATAAATGCCGTCTTAGTGTCAAGTCTAAATTATCAGTTTCTAACTTAAAATATGTTAAAATATTAGTTATCATTTACGACTTTTTCTTGGCAGCCACCCTGGGCGGCTTCTATGGTCTCTTCTTAGGAGCGAGCATGCTATCCTGGTGTGAAATCATGGAATACTGTGTTCGTAAAATATACCACAAGATGGTTTCTACTGACAGAAGGAGTATAAATTAAGTTACAAACCTGGGTTCCTGGATCCATTTGAGTGCACCGGACAAATTTTCATCACTACGAATGAAATGGAGTTTTCGTGATACTTGCAAAGTAAGAAAAAAGCGAGCAAACGAACATCAACGGGATCAGCCTGACCGGATAAACTAAGAGTGGACATATGGCCGGGCAAGGGAGTACTATACTCGAGCACCGGTACCTTCACGCGTTCCATTCGGTTATGTCACCAATACACTTCAGGCGAACTCATAGTTGACAGGAGTGGACAAGGCAGACAAGAACATATTGATGATCAGAATAAGTGGCATATCATTTGCGTCGGTTACCTCGGAGCTGGGGACTGGGGTTTCAATTCTCTCCCTTTACCTTGCATACTCTCCAGAGACACTTCTTGTTCGATTATTAGCATGTCCTTTGTTTTGGGATTTAGAACCTGTCTTCCTGTATTTCTCGGGATAGGAGTAGCTATACACTCAGCATGGAAAATATTTCACCACTGCAGCCTAATAGGCGTCTATTAAAGACGTCTCGTTAATCCCAGTTTTCAAAGTTTTTTCTTTCCCACAACTAACAGACTTCACTTGACAAGAGATAAAGTAAAACTGTGAAAGGTTTTTTGAACCCAGGAGTCATTTCATACGTAGCTTGAGTATGAGTTGATTGATGAGTGGGTTGAGTTGAGAAGAGCCATAACGGATTCCATCATGGGGGTCAATATGTTGTTTGTACGGTGCCAGTAACTGTTGAATACGATTCAGGGGCTACGATTCAGTCAGTAAACCAACTTTCTAAAGTGAGTCGTTAATAGTAGTCTGTAGAGAGTCCCAGTCAATTCAAACGAGCGACGAGAAATGGTGACGACCGTTTACAGACGAAACATCAAATCGACTGGGACTCTGCGACTTGTATTAAGTATTCTACAGACTACTATCAACGACTCACTTTAGAAAGATGGTTTACTAACTTAGACCAAACACCACTGAATCGTAGTCAACAGTCACCGGCACCATACAAACGACTTATTGACGGAATCAAGCAAAACTAACTTCGAGAGAAAGACTGGACAACTGACAATTAGACCAAGAATAAATAACTATAGACGGATAGAAACGCACCAATGGCATTACGAGTCTTCACAGCCAATTACATAACGGCTTAAAACTGACAGACGACAAATAACATCGCGACTTAATTGACCAATCAGGTCAATAACCAGAGTTCAATACCATTAACTGACGTGATACAACTCACTTTGACTCTGAAGATGACTACCGCACAGCTGGTCGTAGCGTCAGTCACTGTCAACAACAACAGTCCTATTCAGGACTACCTTCACATTGACGATCATAATCAACCTCCTTAAGAGATAAAGTAAAATTTGAAAATAATATAAAGACAACAAACAGTGAACACAACATAGCTCTGAGGCTTACTTTTAATGAGAGTTTTTCAGCATCAAAATAATCTCTATAAACCTTGTTTTAATGGTAACCGAATGTTGAAGTGCCCATTCTCCTACAAAAAATGGCAAATTCTGCATCCTCGACTCAATGCACCAATAATCGATAGATTCTGTTAGTAGAAAATTTGATTGTAATATCCTTCTGTAAGACTATATATTCTGTAACTTTAGCTTGTTTTTCTGTAATTCTTATTTATCCACATAGTTTATTTAGTTACTTTACAATATTATCTGTTATCCTCTCCGCCCGCCTCGTCTAGCTTTTGCTATTTGCGGGTGGAGATGGCAAAATGATGTGTATGAAATAAAGTATAGTGTGTGTGAAGGTTTCACCAAGCGCTTTCCCTTCTATTGACAAGAATACTATTTATAAGATTAAGTTATAAAGCCTAAAACCCTTGTTGAGGCAAACATCTATCGCAAAAAAGTGTCAGAAGAGTTTATGTAAACAAAAAAATGATCACCACAAGCTTAATTTAACGACTTTGTTAACTGTTCCGAAAGCACAAGTCGAAACCAATATCGAGTTTAGAATTACCACAAGGCAGAAATACTAAGGCTCCTTTTCACTAGAATAACATCGATCTCAAGATAAATACTAGCAAGATTATGCAGAACCCGTGTAGAATAAATATTAGAAAAAGCTTTACATTTCACGTTGGACTTCAAAAGCTGCATGTACTAAAACCAGGAACATGGAACACATTGGAACACGTCAAAAGAAAAAAAGAAACCAATAGAATTGTTTTTCTTCGGATGGATGTATTTTCCTTTTTTCTCTCTCTCTCTTCCGTACGTGGTGCCTCGATTTCACCTACTTCTTTAACGTGAAATAACCAGTAAGCGAAGCTAAAACCTTTCCCAATTAAAATATAAAATTCCACCCGCGCGTTGTCCGTACACTAGGGACCTTACGAAACCACCACGATGACGGCAACGGGAACATCAAAAAACAATAGGATTAATGAGCAAAACAACAACTCTGTACGTGCATCAGGTTTTTTTGCACATTTCTTTGCTTTCACTGCACAACTACGACGTGAAATGACCAAATTTTAAGTTTACTTGGTAACGGGAACGGCAAGGCGATAAATTCTGCCATCTCTGTCCGAACTTGAGCGCGTTCCCCTCTCTTCAGATCCAGCCAAAATTCTCTTTTTTTGAGTAACAGGGCGAATTAGGATAATCGCAAAAAAGTTTAAAATGATGCGAAGTCTGTTTTTCAGCGACGTGGACGTCGCCGTTGTCGGATCGTAAGGTCCCTACTAGTTTTTGAGAGAATACATTGTTTTCTTTTCCTTGTTCGCGACGTCAGTGAAGCTTGTCTTCCCTTGGTACACACTGTCTCACACATATAATCGAACAAGGCTCTTCATGGCTTAAGAGCTTTGTCCAGTAAGGTGATGTCTTGGACGTGACAGGGAATGGTGACCTTCAATAAAGGATTCTCTTCCATGGCCTTGCAGATGGCCTTTTTTGCATGGATGTTGCCCGACCAGCAACGGCGAGCAACCTTGAATACGGCAAAACAGTTAAGATTAGAAAAATCTACAGCAACAAATTGATCGGTGGCGCATCTCTTGAAGATCTCGATCACAAATAACTTAATAGACCACCGACTGATTCCAACAGCAAAGCAATGGAAAAAAAGGAAAACAAATCTCCTCCCTTTAATCAAGGTAGGACTAATTTCCTTGTAACTTTTTAATTTCGAGGTTCCTGTGGGTGCATCGCACTAATCTGTTTTCCCCCTGCCCAGTCTCCAATCAAAGTTTGTCTCAAACCCAGTTGCCAGTGGAAAAGAAGAAATAACGTAGCCAAATCCTATAGTCCCAGTGGGTAAAATGCCATTACAAGCCTAGAAATCGGAATTCCAAGGTCAAATATTCGTCAGTAAATTGACTCTCTATAAATAAGTTTCTTTAAAGAGTCGCCCTTTGAGTAATCAAGTTGATATGCAAACCTCTTGAGAGAAAAAACATAAACTGGTTGGGAAAAATATATGTTTAAACAATAGACTCACCCCATTGTTAACATCCCAGGATAACATCATACGAGCCTTGCTACCAGCATCCTGCCAACAAAATAACAATTCAAACAAGTGGTCGTATGAAGTATGGGTTCGTAACACATATGTCGTGTAAAAACTTATTCGTCTACTGCCATACTGCACACAGTTATCTTTGCTAAACCTACACGACAAAAAATGTCGAGAGTACTAAGCATCTTGAAGTTTATCGACTAGGGGAAAGCTCAGGGAATAAAAAGCGGTGGAAAAGAGCGTTTTAAAATAACATTACTTAATTCTAAAGCGGGATACAATTTCTTGCACACTTGGTACGAACGGTTAGTGACAACTTCATCTTTATTAAGCTGTATATACACTTTTGGTTGAGGCGCTCAACTGTATCGTATATTTTACGAGGCCAGCAGTGTCGAATAATAAATTAAAAATACTACGAGATTCTACACTTCATCGATAAAGCTTACTTGAGATCCATCTAACACCAGACCAAAGCCACCATTGACCACTTCACCCCTAAAGAAAAACGCAGAAAATTTACTATTAAAATAAGGATCATCACAGTCAAAAGACTTAAAGACTAACAAAGGGCGATGAAGTATTTCAAGCATCCTGGAAAAAAACGTCATTTAATTAGCCTGCCAAGTAAAGCTATAGCCAGCAGGTTTGACTATATGATCCTCAAGTGTTACTAGTATTAAGCGGAAAAGTACAGCGGCAACAAACTCTCACGTCTCAAGGACGGAATATAGAAGAAAAACCACAAGATAACAAAAGAAAACGTCAAAACTGAAGGACTGTTCAATTTTGAGGGTTCAATACAAATATCCCGGTGGGTATAGACACTTTTCAAGAACTTTTCAATATACTAAATCCTAACTTACCAGCCGACCCCGCCGCCATTATGAAGTGCGACCCACGTTGCTCCTCGGAAAGAGTCACCAATAACATTTTGAACAGCCATATCTACAAAAAGAATTACTACCAATTGGTACTATTATCGCTCTGTAGCAGTTCACAAGGAGCCATTTATAGATTCAAGCAAATACCGGACTGGCCAGAATATACCGTACGTGTAGTCGCGACACCTTCCCCATCCCGACAAAGGACGTTTGAAATCCTATACATCAGCTATCACGAGAAATATGTTCCTGACTCCAATTTACGCATGACCAGGGTTGGCATTTGGCATTATTGACTTTTTCCTGACACCTGATATACTTTTTGAAGGACATGAATATATTTCGAGCGTTAAAGATTTTGAGTAGGAAAATCGATCGAAATCCATGTCCTTTAACAGTTTAGGCAAAGCGCAGAGGCATCCTGAAAACAAACACCCCTTACGTTTTCGTGACATTGATCAGTAAGAACTAAGACTTTCCCTTATTTTCAACAAAATTCTCTGACTTTTCGTTAACCTCTGAGGAATTTTGTCCTTCTCTGACTTTAACATAACTTTAGCTAAGTTAAGTTAGATATTTAGTCACAAGTAGTTCCTTATGTTACCTTTTTTTGTTTTAGTTATTTAATTTTCATTTATTACCTATGCGCAGAAGAACCTTGTCCTTATTATATTATTTTATACGGGCCAGTAGTACAACAATTAATACCGCTGGATTTTGGCTTCAAGTGCGCTAACTACAAACCTGCACAAAAACTTGATCCGTCGTAAATGTTTGAAGTTTCACGAAAAGGGCTGGAAACAAAATTTACACAAGCTATCATAAATTTGAGTGATAACGATAGAGTGTAAAACACATCGTATTTAACAGCATAACAAATTCTCTCCACCAAAGAAGTTACTTTATTTACTTTAGACCGAGTAACGTAAAACTCAGACCTACTGTAAGGTAATTACTTCTGCCAGTCACAACATGTACCGCATGACCCAAAGAAACGCTAAAGAAACGGCGAACAAATATATTTATAGCAGAATAAAAAGCTGTTAAGGTCTGAATTACCTGTCTGTTCCACTGACATCGTGGTGGTCCCGACTTATGACCACGCAACCCTGAAAAAAAAAAATCAAACGTAAATTATTCAGTGGACAGGACCTACCGAAACTGAAATAAAATAGTCTTACCATCAATCGCTTCTCGCTGATCGCCTTGTTGAATGCTTCTGCAATAGCCACACGGCCGCGGTGGTCTGAGTACAAAATTCGAGCCTGGGAACCGACCACCTATAAACAGATTAAACTGATCAAACATTGTACCGACTCAACAGATTCTATTATTTATAACATTAATACATAAGATCGGCTTTTTAAATGGAAACGAGCACGTTTGTCAAAATCATGATTCGAAATTTTTCTAAAACCAAGCTAATAGCGACCTAATGACGTCATCAAATGCAAGTTAGCGGTGTACGTAAAAAAGTCTGCGATGTAATCACGTCCCATTTTAGTTTTATTTACATGTACACACAAACCTTTATTTCACCGTTAGATAATGAAAAGAAAATTATACTTTATTTCAAAAAAATAGTCAATTTGTCCTATGACAGTGCAGGTTCTCTATAAGTATCGATGTGTACAGGTTTTAAAAGCTAACCAAATGGTGTTGCTGCGCTTCTTCTATCCACTTAATGTTGTCTTCGTATTGAGCTTTTACTTCTACAGGTACTGCAAAAACAAAATTAACACGTTTGAAGTTGTTCGCGTAGATAATGTTATTTTCATTGAGGCCAAGAGAAGCCAGCAGCAGTTTCCTAAAATTTTCCTCGTTAAAACGTCTCAGAGGTCAAGTTTAGATAGCGGATTAAATGTGTAATTACACCTCATTCCCAGGCTCTCTCCTCTTCCCATACCCTGAAGAGGACGAAAAAGAGAGCCGGGCCCTGGGAAGGAGGTAGTGCATCCTACTTTCCAACAAAATGTCGAAAAATTGCCAGGCTGTATGATTTGGTGTCCTTAGAAAAAGAACAAAATATTAAAAACTATCAAATAACGAGATAATGATAGTTAAATGGCTTAAAACTCACATCCTTCCGCCATAATCTGCTCCAATACTTTTCTGGCGATTTCATCAGTTGTTGCCAGATCGGCTGCCAGACCGGAAGTACAAACCCATCTAAATGTACAAGGGGGAATGAGGAAAATGTGTGTCAAATATGGCATAATAATAATAATTTCAGAGACGAGGCAGATGTGACTGAATAAATTCCTTCGCGAAAGTTTCGTTTTTCCAAACCAAATATTCGACGCAGAATAAAATTGCTAATACGAATGTCTTTGATACTTACGAAGGTGTAACGATTTAGATTCACAACGCAAAGATAGTTGTTTTTCATTCACTCACCGAAATGGTCCAAAGCCCATTGAGAAAATATCGCTGTAAATCAAATCAAAAGATTCTGTAAATACATGCGAGAATCGGAACGAAGGTTATTATAACACTACTTTTAACATAAGTAGACAGAGAACTTTGGCACAATATGTTGGGTACAAAGGTAACGACGCGCGCTCTCATTGGTTACTTTGAGGTCACATGACATCTCAAAATAGAACTGTATCCTGCCAACGTCTCTAAGCGGGCAGCCGCAAAACGCGAATGTTAACTGCTGGACGAAAGAACTAAATAATTTGGTTTCTAAGAATCGGTGAAGAGATTCTCTGGGCCGATCAAAGATGATGATGACGACCCACCATTTAATCCTAAAGAAGTCGGGATTAATTGCTGTCAGTACCTACCCCATAATATCCTGTACATAGGAAGGATAACGGAACACCCCAAGAGGCGCTCCTTCTTTACACACATCAGCTCCTTAGAACACAAAAGAATCGGGGTAAAGTAATATTGATCAGTGCTACGAGCCATAAAATGTAACCTTCTAATGTAATTTGCCTTGATAGTAGTAGTATAGTATGGATGTTTTAGACCGCTTTTTGGCCGATGAGTTCCATTATTGAGGGTGGGGATACATTTACTTCGATGACCTCATCGTCTTTTGTCTTCATCTTAAGAAAGAATGTGGGGGAGTCTCTTTAACATGACGTAACTTGCTATTTTAGGGTTTTTAACCGATTTGACAGGTTTAAGGCAGATGATGTCATGGTTTATTTAAAACCGAGTGCGTCATGTCCTACATTCCTCTCTAATGGCTCCTTGCCTCTTTGTCCTAAGTGTCGAGGAGGAGCGAGTGAGTAGAGACGGATGTATTTGCAGGCTAGCAAACAAGCCATTTCTAGCACTGACGCAGATTAAATGGTCCTTCGTAAAGCCAACGCTTCTGAATATTATCGCCACTTAATTGATCGAAACAAGATTGATTCAGTAAACAAAACGTAAGTCGACTCACTTTGATCGCTCCCGATCTCACTGTCTCAGTTCTAGGTTGATATGCAATAAAGGAATGTATAAAATCGAGACAAATACCAGTAAAATCCTCTAAGTTTTTCCAGTCCTTGGCCAACGAGCCAATCTACTTGTCTTTTCCTGTAAATTCCTGTTTAGCCATGTTTTGATTTCGAGTAAGAAACAACGTGGCGCGAAAAGCCAGGGTTTGGCCCCAAGGTTCGCAAATGCCCCCCGAGACCCAGGTCGCACGAAATTTGGCTTGGAAGGGGGGGCGGTGGGCGCAGCTGAAAAGACTGCAAAAATTGGGCTAAAATTCATTTTTATAGAAGCGAACAAAAACTACCTATCTAGGCAATCGCCCCACTGAATTCTACTTGAATAAATAGTTTCTTCAAACAGAGCTCTCTCTCTTTCTACTTTACACAATTGTAATGTTTCCTCTCTTAGTTTGTAACGTTTTACCTGCACGACTAGCTTCAAGGAGAAATGCATTGCCATAGTCCCAAAAGAACATTCCACGTGCAGTCAGTCTATTGAGAGCTGCAACCTGACGACGAAGGCTGAAATATATATAGCAAGCAAAGCTGTTAACAGAGTTTGCAGTCATTTTGTACGATGACAATTTAAGTTAATATAATTTCAATAGTAAACATACCTTTCTTGAACTAAGGCTTTGAACCTTTCAGGATCATCTTTCATGATTTCGTTTGCTTCATCAAATTTCACCTACGTACGAGTAAAAAGAAACGGTCGTCAAATCATACAAGAATGGCCTCTGTAAGACGCAATCAAAGTTTTCTATCAGTACGGCCACCCAGAGCTTATGACACAAAAACGTCTCTTTTTCTCGCTGCTTGGGTTTCCTTTGTTCTTTGTTAAGACGTTTATAAGAAATGAATATACCTTTTATTTTATGTTCAAAGTCGACGTTACTTTATTCTTCTTACTGACAATGTATTAAAAATTGCTTGAACAGCCCTGTGTCCCAGGAAGGCTCTAACTGAAAGACAGAGTCCCAGTTTGAGAAAAACCCCAAGCGACACTCAACCATCTAGGAGAAACGCTCGCTTTCTTGTAAAGTGAGCTTGGGATCCCCGTGACGACACTGACCTGCACAGGGTAGTAACCACCATTGAAAGGATTGTGAAGGGAAGTTTGATCAGAGCCAAGCTCCACAAGAAGTTCGCCAGTGCTTTCATATTCTTGTACCAGACGTTCCCTTTAATGGAAAAAAATAACCATGTTGTCAGAAGCTCTTTGATAACAGTGCATACAAGAAAAGCTAACTAGAATCAGTACAATGTGCTGTCTTAATTTGGGAAATAACGGGTTACAAAAAGCCAACTCTGGGGCTGGCCGCCATTATCACTAGCTGTACTGTAAACACCCTAGAGATAAAACATGATAAAGAATCAACGTCGTCATGTAGGTTTTCTTCATTTTGTCATCGTTTCTTTTCTTATGGCATCAAACAGCAGCAAATCTACAAAGATAAGTCTCATCATAAAACGTAGCAATTCTTGACAAACAGTTCACTCACCACAAGTGAACTATATTTCCATGGTATCCCAAACTGTGTGGCTTTTTCAGCTGCCTGGCTTTCCTACACACACAAAAAAAAATCAAATTTGAAAGCAAGACTGGAAATGGGCTATTCCCAAGTTGCCCCAATGCCTCAGTTTTAAAACAAGAGTATAAGAGCAAGCCCTTCACATACTCTGTGATTAGGACGCACATGGTGTACTTGTGAAAATATTTCAGGTTATCTGTATTTCTAACAGACACGACGTGATTTTGGAAAATCAAAACACAAAAGGAGAGATTTTATTTCAGTGGAATTTGTCTTGCTATGACTAGCAAGGTTATACACTGTGGAAAAAGTTTTTACACACTTTATAGCTAGTCTAATACAAGACAAAGTCTTCATATAAATACAGTCGAATCCCGATAACTCGAACCGTCAAGGGAAATAGAAAACCCTGTAGAAAACAGTTCGAGTTATCGGGAGTTCGAGTTATCGAGAGTAAAATTATATAGAAAACGATCTGAAGGAAAATGAGAATTGCTTCGAGTTAGCGGGAGGTTCAATTTATAGAGGGTTCGAGTTACCGGGAGTCGACTGTACTACAAGACACACAATATGCAGAGAGGCATGAGCTGATGGTGTTGATGAGCGAAGTATGTCTGCTCCGTACCTTATCATTTGAATGCACACATTCACATCAGAGGTGTATTCCATTAGCCACCTAACAACAAAGACAAGCAAAAAAACATCCTAACATTATGAAAACGAAAACTTTAGGATACACATTATAGACAAGAAACTTTGATTATAATGTTTTGGATGCTAAAAAGTTACCAGGTTATACTAGAGTGAAAAGTCATAACAAAACCTTACCCTTGCTCATGTCTTTTCTTCAAGGCAGCTTCATTAACCTGCAAGACATTAATAAAATGAGTGATACATATGCAGTGGAATGCCTGTGTAACAAATTACATTATTACTACATAATAATAAAAACTTCACCAAAAAAAGTTAAAGTAGAAGAGGTGGAAGATCTTGGAAACATTAATTTTACATCTTGTTTTCAGGTGTTTTATTCACTCTCTTTAGCCACGTTAAGCAGGTCTCATATTTTCAACAAGGTGTTGATGTCTTGGAGCCACCCCAAATAGAATTAATACAATAACATTTTATGTACCTCAGCCACCACTCCAACACAGCCAGCGATCACAGCAGCTTTGGCCTGTGCACCACTCATTCCACCCAAACCTGATGTAACAAAGACCTACAACAACATTATTGAATCTTAGAGGATGCTGCCATTATAATTCAATACTCAAATAATGTAACAGCCAAATCTCATTAATATGAACAAAAAAGAGACAGTCAGCCAAAATTGTTGTCCACATAACAGAGCTAGAGTGTAGTGTCCATCCATCATAGATATGTGTCAAAAAGAAGTGGTTCAACTGTATTAAACTGATAATTATCATTGACTGAAATGTGAAAGTCAAGATTGATTCTTTCCTCGCTAATCACTACACCCATTCACATAGGCATTCATAGCTTGACGAGCAGCGCAAAATTGTGATGTAATCACTCAGGAATGTTCTTTAAAAAGGAAGGGTTGATATCTTTTATTCACATGCTGGGCTTCACGCGGTTGAGCATACAAGTCTTTACCCTTCCTGGAACAAGCTAGCTGGTCACTATCAGTTTTCTTATGGATCCCCAGATGGAGGAAGCCTCTGGTAGGACAGGACTCCTCCTTGTGCTCAACAAAGTTATGCCGTAAGTGATTGCTTAATGAATCATGTGGATGTACCACTGATGTTCTTCTATTATGACTTTTTATCAAAATTCCTGACCAATTTCTTGATCAAGAAAAATATGTTGATAACCTGCTCATATGCAAGGATAAGAAAATGTACCTTTCCCCTTAAATCACTGACTCCAAGCCGTCTTCTACCAGCATTCAACACCACAATCTGAATAAAAAACAAAGCTACAAAATTAATGTTTTCTTGATAAAGATTTTTTTTCATGCAACAGATACTCTTTATAATGTTTATGACTGTTAGACGTTAAAGCAAAAATAGGTTGTCAGTTACTACATAGCTTGCACTGTTGTGCCTTAAGGCTTAAGAATATAATAAGAATATACTTTTACAAAAATCATTTGATTGTCAGTCTTTAATAACATATTTAACTTTACCGTTGTTCCATGGACAATTCCTTGTGGACCAATGTAACAGTAGCTTCCCGCTGTCATTTGCCCATACATTGTTACACCCAAAGCAAACATCTTATCATAGAGTTCTTTTGAGGAATAATTTGGAATAACCTAGAAGCAAGTAAGGCTGGCATATCAATAAGCTACAAAAGTGGCACATTAACCATAGCCATGAACTAAAGGTGTGCTCTAAGAAAACATATACTGAGCCCTTAATTAGAACTATAACAAAACTATGAAATCCAGTGTGTCCAGATTATGAGTTCTTGGCAAAACCTACTTCCTGTACACAGAGTCAACAAAAGGCAAAAGCAAGTGGACAGGGGTCACCTGAATACTGCCAGATCAACTAAAGCAGTTCAGCTACAAAAACAATGTTTTCCAGTTCAATGTTCTTAATCATAACGGCCATAACATATGGATGAATTTCCCTCACTCTTCAAACAAACCAGTCTGAGCTAATGACAATGAAAAAGATGTGACTGTTTTTTATTTTTCAGTAAAATCTTTTGCATTACTGCAGGGTTTTATTAATGTGTGGTTCCAAAAATTATCCATACCTGCCCCATGGAAGGGATTTTCCTTAGACCCCCCACCTCTCTGGAAATTCCAGTCAAGCTTCATACATTTACTTAAATTTGGGGCCTTTGAGAACCCCGCACCCCCTACAAATTTCCAACCCCTTCTGTGGGGGGAGTAGGGATTTTTTCTGAAACTACACAATAACACCAAATAACACACTCAAGAGATCAAACAATAATGTCTTTTTTTCAATGTATCAGAAACACTTGCAGAACTAATATGGATTACCATGCCATTAGAAATGATGGCTCTTGGAGCTGAGGGACTGCTAGGAAAGAGACCTTGTGGATGTCCTGAACACATCACCAAAGTTTGTTCCTCAGTCATCTCTGATAAATAATGCATCACAAGCCAAAACTGAAAAACAGAATTACAGGACCACACTTTAATGTTAATAGAGCTAACTATCACAGACTTCAAGAATAGCATGTCAAAGCACGTAAGGAGTACAGTTAGTGCAACAACCCACCCCTTGATGGAAAGCTAGTCCATTATAGGGTTCCCACTCAAGCTTTATGCTGCGAGTATACCAGTTACACAAATATATAAATAACATAAAGCAAATAGCATGGCCAAGAATCAAACTTAAAATACATCCATTAATCCAGCATGTTAATGACTAGGACATGTACCGGTAGTACTACATGTACGTCAGTGACCATGGAGAGGGAGGGTAAAAAAATACTGGCCTGCAGAAACAGGCGTTAAAGCAAGAACAAGGCAGGCATGGAGCAGGAGACAAGCATGACTGACAAGAATGATTGGCCTCACTTGCATCTGCTTCGATAAAATTTAACAAAAATAATGAAGCACGTGTCAAGAAGATTGGTTCATTACCTGAGCCCAGTTGGAGAAGACCTGACCATTCCCTCCATATGTCACAAGTTCATGAGGAAACTATATAGGCAAGGCATGAAAGTAAAACTTGATATTAATCTAGTTTAAATAAGCAATAGTCAAAGTAGAAAAGCATGCCCAAAACACCTATGGTACTCAAAAGAAAATGTTTGAATGTTTAAACAATAATACTGTCAGATATAACAGAGACTCTTTCTTGTTCACTTGTATTATGTTGGTTACTCCTCTGAGAAAAGTGATAAGTAGATTGGAAGTTTCGAGCTTATATTGATTGTATATGTAAATCCTTGTACAATTATGCAAATAACAAAAGAAAGTTGTAAAACACAAAACTCCATGTCAATACCCTGGCTTTCAGCAGTGACTTGACTGATAAATGATTGACTTATAAATATACAAACTTTTATTAGGTTTAAAAAAAAAACCTTCGTCTAAACCCTCTTATCGATCTCTCTTAACAAAGAGTGGTACATGTACATTGTGAAGACAGTTGAAAATTAAAATACACTCTGGTTACACTACGCTGGCTTAAAAATGTGATGGTTTGGTAGCTGCATATATACCTGAGCAACTCTGGCATCCAGATTGTTCATAATCATTAACATGATTGCTGCTGCTTGTCGTGTTTTTGCTGGATACTCTTCAATGGGGTAAGCACTATTAAAGAAATTTAAAGAACCAGATAAGCAAATATTAATGATCTTTCTGACTCTGGCATTATAAAAAGAAGCATGAAAATGTTCAAATCAAATAAAAATTTAAACACTGCATGAAAATCTGCTAACTGCCAGTTTCACACAGTGCACAGTCAAGGCATTATTGTCCTGGCTGCATGGCCAGCACCAGCCCATACATTAGTACAACTCCTCTTAATAAAAATTAAACCTCCTGTCACCTCTACACAATGACAATTACCAGTTGTGCTCCATTATGCCAAACAAATCAAATGCACTGAAAATAATCTTTATCTGTGAACACTTTAAGGCCACATACAGAGTCAACATAGGAATTAAAAGGCATAATATTTCTTTCGTTGCAAGATGTTGGCTGCACAACTATTGCTATCCTGGGCCAAGTTGTTCAAATCATAGGGTGATCTGGTGCAAATCTACAATCAGTTTTCATGACAACTCGTAAAATGTTCTGTTTACAAAAGTAGGTGGTGGTCATTGAGTAGACTGACAAAGTAAAAAGACCAGATAACAACCAAAATAATGGCATACAGTATAAACTTACCGCATTTCAATTTCTGGTCTAAAGCGATACATGTAGATGTGGCCATATTGTCTAAGCTCATCAGCAAACTCCGTAGCAAGCGCATGATGACAGGTGTGAGGAAAATACCTCAAAGCATTCTGTAATGCTAACTAGAAAACAAATTACAAAAGTAAAGCTGTTATTATACTGATAAAGTAATGCCCTGGGCATTACTTTCATGTACAATTTTAACTATAAATGTTGTCCTTGATTTTCTCCAGATTACAATAAAGCAACCCAAGAAAATAAATTTAATATTACTTGACAACAAGCAGTCTGTCTTTTTGTTAGTCCATTGAGTGAAATACACAAGAGGAGAAAAATGGCCATGCAAGTGACAAAGGGCACAAATGTTGGAGAAGCATAAAAGAAAGAGAATAGACTACCTCCAAAGCGATCCTTCACTTTGCTTTGGTTTTAGAATACTACTACTAAAGAATAGCATTCTATCATGGCACTAAGAATATAAACACATCATAAATTTATCAGCAGTTTCGATCGCTGGCAGTTTGTTGTCACAGCAATGCAATCTTATTTGTGCATTGGGAGCACAATGTAATTGGACTGCATTCACTTTGGCTATCTCTACTTTTGTTTTTTGTTTTTTTTTTCTTGAGTTGATGCCCTGATGGCTTCAATGCTCCTGACAAGTTAGGCATGCAACTCCAAGTGAAAATGAAGAAAAGTTATATTACTGAGGCTTAATATTACTGAGGACGTCTTTGGGATTATAGATATGGAATAAAAAATGTTTAAAAAATAAGCCAGCGTGCTTGAAGAGATTGGTTCTCAACCAGGTACACATTTGTTCTCACAAAATAACCACACCCACATGATAGAAGGGTAACTATAAAAAATTATTGTCCAAATATGAGTGGAGATCAGCACAATAAGTTTGTGTTTGTATTTAAACTATGAGCCAAAAATGACATATGGTCGTTTATTCTCAGGTTTCATTCTTCAATACTTTTGGACATGAAAGAAAACAAAGAAAAAAAGTCTGATGATCGTCGTAATCAAGCCATGTAAGCCCTAATCATGCTGGAAGAATGCATTTCATCCCTTGGCTTTTGTATTTCTCTTCCTTCAATCATTATTGCCAGCCATAGATCGTAAAAAGTAAATATTTAAGCAGGGAAGGGTGACTATCTAACACGCGTGCTGGTGCACACGCCAACCATGCATTAATACAAAATTAATACGCCATAACTACATTTTGCCACACCAAAGGGCCATACAATGGGGAATGGATTGAAAATTTTAAAATCTTAAAACCGCGGCTATGAATTAATTTCATTACTGTTACATAACTCTTAAAATATAAAGATCAGCTACAAAGTTTAACACAGTTAAATTAGCTTAAAGTTTTCAATGACAACGCCGAATGTTTAGTTCTATTTCCATACCCTGCGTTCATCATCCGAAAGATTAACTGTTCTAACAGGCGCATGAGGAACAGATTCATCCCTATCTCGCGGAGAAGGGAGAGGATCCACTGGAAGCCCGCCACAAATTTCCTTTAACGACGCCATTCTGGTTCTTCGACTTCGTGCAGCGCAATGTCTTTTGAAAATATGCGCGAACAGCCAGTTACCTATCAGTTACCAGGGGTTACCAGGGATATGAAGGGGGTGTGATCAAGGGCTTGCCGGAGGTGTGAGACAAGTTTTACAATCTGATTGGTTGTCTTTTGGTGAATTATTTTCTGACCTGTATTCAAAACATCAGAAGTGGTCATGCGGAAGATCGTGCTTGAATAATCGCAAAATTTTATGTAGCGGGCGAAATACACGTGCGTCACGAACGGCTACAACGTGATTGACTGAATGAATGAACCGGTCAGGCAAGTTCAATGGGACATGCGTATGCGAAATACAATTTCCCGTTTATAACCCGATAACGACAAGCCTTGTACGTTTGTTAATAGTTTTGTTTTAACTCTTTTGATTACGATTGTGAAGAATGAGACTATCTGTTCGATTCAATGGTAAATGGTATGTAATTCCTTGCGGAGATGGAGTCAATTCTATCCAGTGGTTAATAGAAGAGACAATTCGTCGCTCGAAAGAACATGCCACTGTTCCCGCCAATAACTTTGAGGCTGTTTTGGCTCAGAGTGATGGGAAATTACATTTGAAAGACCCCATAAGAGAAGTTTTAAATGACAGTGATTTTGTTCATATCTCAGGTGAGCTTCGTCATATGTATTGGCATTACAAGCTTGGAATATTCTATAATTGTTAAATAGAATCCCGAATCACTTTGTTTATAAGGGAACAACCAGCTGTCGAAGGTCATAGTGCAGGGTGCCACAAGCTAGCCATAGTGCATTTTTATAGATTATCCGTTAATGAAAAACGGTTTCTTCGTTTTCGTTTAACGCTTAAATGATAACATGCAAGTTACGTCGTATCTTGTTCTACAAGAGTGATTCGCTCGAGCACTTAGTAAACGGCGCCCGCCGGGGTGTCCAAAGAACATATAAATAATATCAACGATGGTTTCTCAAGCGTGACTGCCGTACTTTAACTCCGGGGTACGAAAAAATATCATTTTACTAAAAAATGTTTTTTCTCTTTTTTTCACAGCAAAAGAAACGTCGGTAGAAAATTATTTAGCCTCGTCTGTAGGGAGCTTGTATCCTTCGTGTGTTTTAAATATTCAAATGAAACCAGCCACATAAACATTGTTTTGGTGTCTGTGATGTTGATAAGCAAGTACATTTGGAATGTTAATTTACTGTGCACATTTTAAACAAACAAAACACATAGCAATTTTCAACTGTTTAATATTTAGCGTTTTATCGAATCAGTGATTGACTAGTTGATAATTTAAGTTACTTTTCACAAATGTCTTTAAAAGGATATTGGTCGATATTGACTTGAATTGTGCAATCTAGTGACTCGTTTCCATAGCCCTCATTTAACACAAAAGTAGTCACAATAGCTGTTTATCCTTGACTGATTACTTCAACATCACATTCTTACAGAACTGCAGAAAAGAAGCATGTAAGTTGAGGCGATGTTATGGGTGGGGAAGAGAAATCATGTTATTTGAATTTTACATAATGTTTTTATTATTCTACATCTACATTTTACCTTTGCAATGTTGTGTTTTCCTATTGGCACCTTTAGGATAATTATTTTCAGATGTTTATTTTTATTTTTATTTATTTGTCAACACAGAGCATCAGTACCCATGCTGATTAATTCAACTGCAATTTTTACGGATATTAGTCAATTTTCTGACAACGATAAATCTTTGCTTTCAAATGAATTAAGGTAGTCTGGATATTTGTCTTATTTTTTTCCAATATCACATAGGCTCTTAAGTTGACATGTGAAAAAGATGTTCTCAGATCTCCCCGGCCCTATAATTTGCGACTGAAAGCTTTTGAAGAGGCTTGACATGTACTACCTGAGTACACTACTAACTACACTACTACTAAGTGTTTGGTCATATACTCAGGAGTTTGTATATGAACATAATTAGGATGTGTGTCCTTAATTCCCTGTCATATAATGAGAAACATGAGGATGATAAAAACAAACATTTCCACCTCTCTTATAACTAATTATGACGGCACTTTTCATTTTGTTTGTCAGTTTGTTGAAGTTGATGGGTGTTCACTGTCACCTGAAACTCTGGTTGCCCTGGGGAAAGGCAAACTGAAAATAAAGGTTACAGATACATTTTTTTAAGCTGATAAGTAATTATATTACAGGAATTATACTATGGATGAATCTCTTATTCTCTCTCAATCTTCCCAAGCAAAATCAAAACAGTATATATATGTAAAAGCTATAATTATAAAGTTGGAATTTATAGAATCGTTTCGTGCCACTTATGGAAACAAATAATTTATCATAAAAGAAGGAATGTTTTTTGAAAGGTGTGGTCTAGTTGGACACGCCCAATTAATGTCTTTGCATTGTTTGGGGAAGCTCCAGTGTTCATTATTTATAAAGTAAAATTCAGGCTAAGAATTAAAAAAGACACGTTTCATTTTAACCAGGAATTTGGGGTAGGAGAAAACAGCTAGGAAAACAAAAACTGCATTATTTGGCTTTACTTTGGATACATTTCTAAATCTTAAAACTAGATATGTGTTGAATTCCCCAAAGCCAAATTTTGTCCATCATATTTTTTTTAGGAGAGCTCTTTACTAGCTAGGAGTCCAAGGCATATACTATCTGTGTTTAACATTGGTATTGGATATCCATGTTATAGACAATTGACAGCTGTCAAAAAATGTATCAGCTGACCAATGTCATGTGACTGTATTTGAGGCTCAAGTATACAACTCATAGTAGAGGTCATGTATTTTTTTCAGTTATCAAGAGACCAGTTTTTTATTTTCAATTGATTGCAGAAATAAAAATTTTGTTATTATTCTTTCTCTTCTCAGCTGACTGATGAGGCTGAATTCAATGTATCCAAATCACGCTCATTACTTGACAACATTGTTCGTGAGAATAAAGGTACCAATTATATGGAACGAATAACTGATGCCCATGTGTAAATATGGGATTCACTGTTGAGTTCACACTAAATAATGCCTTGGTTGTGAAATTCACCATATTGTACCAATTGAAACCTCAAAGGGACTGTTCATTAATCATGGGAGAGAGAAATGGGTAAACAAAAATTAGGGTGGAACCTAAAAGTTTAGCATCTAGAAATACAAACGGGACCAACTCATTGAGTAACAGCTAGAGATGCCAACCTGCGTAGATCTAAAATCTGGAGACTGTCTATTTTGCTCTACACCCCAAATGTCAACAGTCCAGTACAATTGCTATCAAAATTAGCTTGTAATGAAATAATCTTAACAGTGACGAACTACGGCGGTAAGTGTTAAATAATTATGGATGGGGTCTTGAAAATTGTCTTTTCTCAAATTTGTTTCACATTCTAAGACTAGACGGTGCAAAACTCTTTTTGTTCTTGTTTATGTTGTTGTTGTTTTTTATGATTTCTTTATGGGAGACTTTAAAAATTCTTTTTCCTGTCTTTTCAGTGGTATATGGTGTTACTACAGGCTTTGGAAAGTTTGCAAGAGTTGTCATCCCTGTTGACAAACTTAAGTAAGTATTCTGAAGGGTGTAAGAAAACATATTCTGATACTCAAATCTTATGTGCGTCGACCACCTCTCGTAAGCGGCCACAGTCACTTTGAAGGTGAACAACCACTACTGACATAATTGACAAATGCTCTGACAGGACACAACCGCAGTAGAACAACAAGAGCTTTTTGGAACAAAGTTTAATATTTGATATGTAATGTTACTGAACGAACTAGGCATCACAGACTGATTGTATGATTGTGCTTAAAAGGTTTTTCGAATATTCGCAGATGTGTCAGGCCTAGGCTCGATTCATATCAACTGCTGTTTGGGATATTAGTTCACCGTTGTGGTCAGACTCTCGCAAACTGATGCAAATGAAGTTCGCATTTCTAATGCAGCATCAACGACTTTGATAAGCAATCTATTAAAGATAACGTTTTTACAGTATAGAAGGTTTTTGTCTAGTTTCCGTCTACACACAGATTCATGAATCTGAAATAAAAAACGTCCCAGTTTGATCGCGTGTCCAGAGATCTAAATTCGATCCAAGTCGATTCTAACCCATCTCTATATTACCTGCAATAACAGAACCTCTTGATCCGCATCATCATGTAATTAGTCAAAGAATTTGTCTTGATTTGCATTCATTTTCTGTTCACCCTTCAGAGAACTGCAAGAGAATCTCATAAGATCACACGCTGCAGGTACATATGTCAATAAATAACGTTAAATTTTAATTCCAATAACTACCAATGTGCGATCCACTGTGAACCGCGGCGGCAGAACGTGAAGAAAATCTTTGCTGCTCCCCATGGTATCACTCTGCTCTGAGTATCATGAGAAATATGTGGCTATAATTTCACGTGATTCACGCTACTTCCATGGATCACAGGCCAACCACTAGGAAAAATGACTTGAGTTGTCTCTTATTTTAAGTTTAAATCTTATTGTACTACAAAATGAAGCACTGGGAAAAATGTCCCACGTGAGTCCCCGGTATTATTTCTCGGCGGGTCTTTACATGACATTTTCCTTCCCATGATTTCTAGAGGAAGTACACGTGGTCTAGTGGAAAGTCCTATTTTATACACTTTTTAGATATCAGCTAGCAGCGACATGTTTTCTGCTGGATTTCATCTGAGCCCATATTTCGCTAGAATGTCTTTTCGCTTTAAAGATAACATAGTAATGGTGATTTTACCGACGTTTTATTTACGAAGAAAATCCCTGTGGTTTTGCAATCTTTCTCCAGCCGAAAAGGTTCTTATTCGCTCAGCATGGAAAGTTGTACATGTATAAACTATATGGTTAACTAGAATTAGGCACGATTTATCATCTTTGTTTTTACTCTATATCTTAGGCGTTGGTCCGCCATTGTCTATTGAGCACACTCGAATGTTGTTTGCATTGAGGATCAACATTCTTGCCAAAGGTTACAGGTAAGCTGTACCTCCAAACTTTAGGTTATCATTGATACCTTATGCGAGTCTCAAGGTGCGTTACTTGAGGGTCCTGTTCCATTTTAACCTGCCCAATGCAAAATGACAAGGGAATCATTGTTTCAGTGACCGCTTTTAGACGATGTTCTATCTAAGTCTGAACATTGGTCTTTTTCAAATGCAATGTATGCTTATGGCCCGGACGTCATATTTTAGACATGTCAGTGGGTTGAATCTTGGTCGCCACCACCGAGTCAGACAGCTATGGCGCAGTAATGTGAAAAAAAGTTCACATCTTATAAGTACGATAACAATTCCGAAAGAAAGCAACTTTACCTTTCAGTTCACCTTGTAAACACTTTATTGTTCTTTATTTCTGTTCCAGTGGAATTTCGCTCAAGACATTAAAGCAGCTTATTGCAGCCTTTAATGGTGAGAAAAACCTTGCTTACTTCAATGATCAGCCGATTCAATCTTTCCCAGTATACTTTCTAGCTATTGATTCAATCGCGAGGTCCCACAAAGTAAACTGCTTTCAAGGCTTCTAATTGTTGGGTATCCAGGGGGACAAACCCCAATCCACCCTATCGGCTTCGTTCAAACTAAACCTGTGAAGCAAGGTATCGAAAACTACCCTTGTCTCTAACTATGATTTTCTAATTTTTCACATGGGGATACATGAAAACCAAAAGCGCTCATCGCATCTCCTCGAGAAGATTACTGCGGTCTATTGTAGCGTTACTTTTAAAAGTCAACCAAACGTTCCCCTGAGATTGAAGTTAGCAGTTTCTCAAAGTAGGAAATGGGTAATTAAAATTGTTTAAAATATCATTTTTATGTATGAACATTTTTGTGTAGATATAAAGAACAGCAAATGACAAGTTGCAAAAGGGGAAACTGTCCGGCACGTGATACTCTGACGTTTCTAGTTTGCCGAAAAACGTGATTCCAAATCTCGCTATTGTTGATCAAACTTGTACTCCTATACTAGGAACCCTTAGATTTTAGTACGAGTACGCGTTTCCAAACCGAGTTCGTTTACTTGAGATGATGAATATTCGCGAGAATCTTACCCCATAAGGTGGTGGATTTCCAATCTTTTGTTCCTGTCAAAGACAACTGAAGAGTCGTCGCCTCTCAAATCCATCAATCGGCTTATAGGAAGAATCACAGCTCTGAGACTGCATTGATTCGCGTAGTTAACGATATACAGCATATTATTGATGATTAGTACGAATCCATTTTGGTTTTACTCGACCTTTCCGCCGCCTTCTACCCATCGATCACGAGATCGTTTTTGAGAGATGACGATTTCGTTATGTGGAGTCCCTCAAGGCTCTGTTTTAGGACGGGTGTCATTTTCTCTCTATATTTCCCCATTGGAAGTTGTAATTAGGACTCACGGCGTAAATGCAATCGTGGTACAGGGTTACAGGGTCTTACGCTTTGTATCCAAGATATCATGTCCTGGGTGTCATTGTAAGCCAAAGAAGACTGAAATCATTCACTTCTCCTCGCGTTTTTACCGGCCGAACCAGTTCCTTCTATCAAGGTTGGAAATCGTTCAATTATTCTGAGTAATGAAGACAATGACCTTATGGTCACACTTGATCGCCATCTCGCTTTTAATTTTTTTCGTGCGTAAATAAAGTAGGGGCAATGTCTGAAAGGTTGCGCGTAGGCGAAAAAGTTGAATCTTGCTCAACTTTCACGTCTACGCGCGACACTTCACTCATTGCCTCTATTCCATGTACACCCTTAAGATTTACGTGTGTGCGCTCGTAAAAATTACGCCACACTGGAAATCCAACTTTACTTCCCTATAGGTGCTGCATGATCTTTTTAACTGGAAAGAGTGAACGTTCATGGCGAGTATCTCGAAATTAAGGTCCGTTTCCGGTACTCCACCTGATACTCGTAGTAAGATCTAGTGGCTGGTTGTAAATTTCGCTATTATTGATCAATCTTGCTCTTTTTTATCCGCCAATTGTAGAATCATGCCTGCCTTGGGTTCCTGAGCAGGGTACCGTGGGGGCGAGTGGTGATCTCGCGCCATTATCACACTTGGCTCTTGGTTTACTTGGAGAGGGGCAAATGTGGAGTCCGAAGAGTGGCTGGGCTGATGCCAATTTGGTAAATGCTTTTTAAGCGATTTCTTTATGGAACGGTTTCATTTCAGATCTTACCGTTTCTTACCATATCTGTAGCGGTGTAAGCTCCACTGGCGGAGAGATACCTGAAACTAAGAATACTAGGATAACTCACAGATTCCACAAGGCTTTAGGGTTTATTGTACCAACTCTTACAGCAATCTCGTTGTAGGACGTGTTGGGGCGAAAGCTGTAGTAGGTTCCGAGTTCAAAACCAATAAAGACATTTCTTGAGATGGTTAACCGTCGAATTTCTGTGAGCCTTAGAAAAACTACGCACGTGTTGCGATATTTCATTGTGACGTAAAATGCGGTTACCATAAAGAAAATAGCTAAAAATACTACCAAGCAAAACTAAAGGCACACGTGCACGGGTGCTGTTACAATATCTATGTTTTTGTATCCCCCTGCCCTTAGCGATTGGCTGAAAAATCTTATGCTTCTTTCTGACCCAATCAGAATTGAAGCCCACGTCACGCGAGCTTCAAATGCTGATTGTTGACAAAAAAGGAACGACGGCTTGTTCACCAAAGTATAATTAATGTCAAGCTGGAAGATGGAGAGTTGACAGACAATTTATATGTTACGCACGATCGTTCAGCCAAGTGCTTCATCTTTCTGTTTTCTAATTTGACGCTGTATAGCCTTTTTCGGCTTGGGGAAATAAGCGGGGGGCGAGTTGGCCACTGCCTCCTTTTTCAATTTCTAAACGACTCTCTTGACAATCTGTCTTCCAGAGCGTCTCACAGTTCTTTTATCGATAGCAGTAAATGGAATTTATAACCTAGTACAACATAAACCTCGGCGCCCTCTTTCTTAATTTTCTGAATCCATCCCTATTGTTTGTGGTTTAATCCTATTTTTTAATGTCGCCCCAGGTTCTCAAGGCACACGGTCTTGAACCTCTGAAGCTGGGACCTAAAGAGGTACTGAGTACTATTGGTCTTCAATTTTTCTGAAATTCCTTGAAATCAAGCTATTTCTTGGCAATTTAGTTTAATTTATTTTTAAACATGTTGTCCTTAGGGACTTGCTTTGATTAACGGGACCCAGTTGATTACATCTCTCGGAGCTGAAGGTAAGCCAGTAAGCCCAGGCTTCTGTAGAAAGGTGGATTAGAAAATGTATCATTGTTTCAATAATGTATCATCAGCCAGTAAATCGTAAGATTACATGCAGTTTACTCATCGCGTACTCATCACTGATATAATAACCGATGGAAGCACTAGTTTGGAGGTATGACTAGGTTAACTGTTTGGACTGAGTAATCATATATTCTCCATGATACAAGTAAACCACCGCCATCGAATATGGGTAGATTAAGGGCTTTTCTGTAAAGATGAAATTTTAATTTTTTTGTTTTTGTTTTTGCTGCTCTCTTCAGCTGTAGAACGGTCGCGGTTAATTGCCAAACAGGCAGACATCATCGCAGCCATGTCACTTGAAGTGCTCAAGGGGACAACAAGAGCGTTTGATTCCTGTGAGTATAAAAATCACACTGTTGGAGAGTGAAATTGAAAGGGGGATTATGTAGGCTATGTTCTCAATATACCAGACAGCTTTTGTGGAGGCACGAAAACCATGCCAAAAATATAGGGCACACATAAGAACGGTGATTTCAGCGCGATTTATTTAGCGGCGATCCCTACAGTGGAGAGTCACATATAGGATAGGTGTTCACACAATAAAACTGTGAAAGGTTTGAACCCAGGAGTCATTTCAAAAGTAGGTTGAGTTTGATCGTCCGGGTGAACAGATTACTATCAACGTCGTACTTTAGAAAGCTGGTTTACTAACTTAGAACAAACGCCACTGAATCGTGGCCAACAGTTACCAGCGCCGTACAAACGACCTATTGACGAGATCAAGCAAAACTAACAAGGAGAGAACGACTGGAGAACTGACAATTTGACTAACAATAGGCGACTGTTTAACTTTTACAATAGACGGATCGAAACTCACCAGTTACTGATTACGAGTCTTCACAGCCAATAACATCACGGCTTGACTGACAGACGACCAATAACATCGCGACATAATTGACCAATCAGATCAATAACCAGAGTATAATACCATCAACTGACGTGATACAACTCACTTTGACTCTGAAGATGACTACCGCACAGGTTGTCGAAACGTCAGTCACTGTCCACAACAACAGTCCTATTCAGGACTACGTTCACCCGGACGATCAAACTCAATCTACTTTTGTATACACTGTATCGGATAGAGTTTTGTGCCAGCACGATAAGCTATCGAGTAAAGTGTGAACATGACCTTTGACTAATTTCAAGATCACACGATTAAGCAGGGTTTGGTTTGTTTAATATCATCAGTAATACATAAAGTGCGCCCTCATCTTGGTCAGCGTCGAGTCGCTGAGAGACTACGATCTTTACTTCATTCCAAAGTACATCCTTCCGCGATAGCAGGTTAGTAAAGCGGCTGCAATACCAGATTCAGCATTAACTTTTGCACATCTCCCATAATACACCTTTTTGCCTCCCAAACATTCTGTAACAAAAACTATTGTGTACGCTTACATTTTATTGTTTTAACTTGTAGAAAGCCACCGATTCTGTAACCGCGTTCAGGACGCGTACACGTTGCGTTGCTGTCCACAGGTAAGTAAGTAATTCGATAATTCCTGGAAAACCAAACTCTGCGGGATTTTTAACTACGGTAAAAGTGCCGCTGCAGTTTAGTCAACCCGGTAAGGATTAAACCCAGAAATAAAGCACATGCATCCAGACAACTAACTCAAAGTCGTGGTTGTCCTTTCTATTTATTTCTAATGAGAAAGAGAGAGGTCGTGAGAACTATACAATTGCAGGTTACTAGCTAACTACGAGCTCGCACTCGGATTTTTTTAAGATTTACCTTTTATTGAGAAGGCTGCACCCTACGCAGACCTTATCAGGGTTTTCATACGCGCTCGTCTTCTACTATCGTGAAAAGAAGGTCTCGGTAGTGATGCTGAAAAAAAAGGAAACATGTTTCCTCTACAAAAAATAAAAAATACGGAAACACAAGGTTTCTGAGGAAGAGTGTAGTGGAAACCCGCGAGACAGGCGCAAACCTGATTGGTTTCTTAATTGGATGATTATCCTATGATTATCTTGGCGGTGTATTACTGTTCAAGATACGTATCATTTCCACTTAATTATTTATTAACTTAATTATCTAATTTGCTATTTACCAGGTCCATGGGGTTGTAAATGATACCATTGATTTCGTCGAAGAAGTAATAACAACAGAAATGAACAGTGCCACAGACAACCCAGTATCCCAAGATTGACTTAATGAATGGCATAACGAATAGCAATAGCCGGAGTGTCAATATACTCAATAGCAAGTACCGTAATGATTCGACTCAGCGCCAATAAGCGCCCCTTTCGAATGTTTTTTTGTTAACAAGCGCCCCCATTCTAATTGCCAACGTGCGGCCTCGCGAAGACGCGAGGCTGCGAGGCGGCAGCCTAATAGAGCCGTGCTGCCGTGCGCGATAGTTCCAAGGCAGAAAAAATCTCGAATGGATGTAACATAATATAGTAATGTATATGTAAGGTAACTTTTGTGAAGTAATGCATAACCGAGAATGCATTGTTTTCGAGCGAACGCGTGATACAGATCAGAGAATCCACGATCCGTGTGCGTGTTTGTGAGTCCCGTGCTCATTTCGTCTTCAATCAATCGTCGGGTGGATTCATTTGCATCATACGCGTATGGCTGCCACATTTGCCCCGCTGGAATTTTTTATTGCCTGTTGCTAAGAAAAATAATAACGCCGCAAAATTTAATGTGTCTTTGAAGCAAAATAATTCAAGGCAACAAAAAAAAAAAAAAAAAAGAAGTATAAATGAGAGAGTAAATTAACCAGTTGTTTTAGTGACCAGGGCTGAGTTGCTCAAAGCATGGTTAGCTTTAACCATTGGTTAAGCAGTATCAAAACCAATACGTTGTCAAGGTATTAAACGCTGGTTAACGCTAACCATGCTTCGAGCAACTGGGCCCAGGGCTTCTATTTTCTAAGGCTTCATCGCCGCTCCATAAATTCTTTTAGCTTTAAAAGAGACAGAGTATAAATATTTACGTTCAATATTCGCGGATTTTAATAGGATTTTTCGAGAATTAGAAGTTTGCTTGCAAGACTGCAAAATTTTTACGTAACTTTTTGACAAAACACGAACTTCATTATCTCGGGATTTCAAATTCTCTATGCAGCAGAACAGTTTAGTTAACTATTTTCAAGGTAATTTTCGCTTATGCAATCGAATTAAGTTCAACTTATTTTTCATAACTTACGGTAATTCATGACATTTCTAAACAAATTGAACAGCGCGCGTGTAGGTAAAATCTTTGCTCGTTGGCACTTAGCGATAGCTATAACTAGTATTATAATATTAGTGTACGGGTTTGTATCAACCGAGGTTCATCTTACTTTAATTGCTCACCAACGAACGGTAATGCCACATTACAAAAACAGTGGTCTTTGTTTAAGTTTTTCAACTGTTATGTCCCTGCAAGTGTATAAATTCTTCAAACGAATGATCTCTTCTTCAAATTTTGTGGCGATTGCTCAGCTGGTCGTTCTGGCGAGGAAGGATCCAGGGACAACAAGTCCGTTTTCCAGTCTCCTTGGTCCAGTTACCTTGACTTGCATTTTCTTCTCACTGCGGGATTTAAGAAAGGTGAATACAAGGAACGAAAGTTCCATCGGCACATGCCCAACAAGTTTGTTATCAGCTTTAAAGTCTCAACTGCGTACCCATCGTGTTCTCTAGCCTTTCCTGCGTGCCAGAGACTCCCCTATAGTTGGAGGCAATGCCGCTTTGTAAACATGTTTCTGTTCTTGTTCCTTAAATATTAAAGTTTTGTTTTGAACATGTGGTTGTTTCTCAAAAAAATGAAATAAGCGCCCTGTACCGAATAAGCGCCCTCCCTTGAGGTATCAAAAGTAAATAAGCACCCTGGGCGCTAAATCGAATCATTCCGGTACTTAGTATGAATAATGGTCTCTTATTGAAGATGTTGTGTTGCTTTGTTTTTGGTTTTGTTATTTACGGCCCCTATTTAACATTCCTACGTGGTTACTGGAGCAACGCAGGAAAAAAGGTGGAACTTTCCCAGTTTTTCAAATATTTTGATTATTAGTAGTATAGTAGGGATGAAATTAACCCTCTTTCGGAGGAATCTCATTACTTTGCACAGGAACACATTAACGCCGATGACTTCAAACCTTTTTCTTCACTTTATGAATGATAAAATTCGGTGGTATCTCATTAAGATGAGATCATGTACTATTTTTAGATGGTTAAACCGGTTTGGAGGGGTTTTTTAGTTATTATTAGGACGATAAATGTCATGGTTTTTGATTGGTTGACTGAAAACTAAGAAAATATTTTCTTTCCTACGAAACTACCTTAACTTGGCGAAAAAGATCGTTTTTGTTGATCAAGAAGAGGTTATTTCAGGCGGAAATTTTCATGGTGAATATCCTGCCAAGGTGAGTATTACTGCCGTCAGTAAAGCCGGTGCCACATAAGAGAGCACTTGTAAAAAACAGGCACCCATTATGAAAATGTGCAACGACAACTGGTCGATTAGAGTAGACTGGCCACTAAAACATGTTAATAATGGAAGAAGGAAAGTGAAAAAAAAGCCAATATTTCTGCCAAATTTGCTCTCTTTTATGTCTCTAACTGCAAAGCGAAGGTTTTGTAGTAAAGTCCGAGAGTTTGTCATCTGGGATAATTTCAAACGTCTATCAGACAACAATGAAGATAACCATGAATACAAATGTTTTATTAATAGGTTTTGGACTACTTAGCAATTGGTGTCCATGAATTGGCGAGTATGAGCGAGAGACGAATGGAAAGGCTCGTAAATCCAGGTATTTGCTCTAAAAGTATTAATACACAAAAACCACCATATACATCTTACTAGCGCTCGACACGTTAGCTTTTCAATCTTTTCACGGTGGAAAATCTCCTTCATCAACTCAACTCAGAAAGACGAATTTTTGTTCTTCACTTCCGACACCACAACACAGTTTAGTACGATTCTGACCCCATCATTCTTTGGCCCCAGGAGGGTCTACAAGGTATCAGCGCTAGCGTCTTAGTATTGTTCAACAAAATACATCTTCTGACGAGCTGGCAGGCTTGAGCCTGTCCATTTATGAGTATTATATGTCTTCCTTGCCAGAATTGACCCCAGTGCCCTATTCCAAGATCTGTTGTTATGTTATTGTTATGGAAAACTTAGTAAGAAATGTCTTACTCCACTTCTTTTGGTCCATGCTGTACCAGCTTCTTCTGCCACAGATCACGTTCCAGGGATCAGTGGAATTTTAACTTAGTTTACCTCAGCATGCCATGGCGCTGAAACAATGAGTATGTGTTACTTTATAGACGTGATTACTCCATTCGGCTGCCAAATTATCTTTGTTTCTTTTTTCCTATGAATAGCCTACAGTGAGC